ATAGTGTCCTCAGGTCCCTTTTGCCTGCTGCCTTCTCAGCTTCAGTGGCGAGGTTGTCGTAGAATCGTCTTTTGTCCTTCCTAGCACTCTTCTTCACTTCTTTGTCCAGTGCTTTGTAAGTTGAGCTCAGCGTTTCCTTCTCCTGTCCGTCCTTGCATTGAATCATTTTCTCTTTCACCATTCTCCTCTCTTCTATTAATTTCCAAGTGTCCGTTGAGAGCCATTCCTTGTCTTGTCTCTTCTTTCTTCCTAGAACCGTTGAACACGTTTCGTTGAGAATCGCCTTCAGAGACTTCCAATGTTCTTCCACGCATGATTCTTCAGTGATGTCGCGTAGTGTTTCCTGCTTTGCTCTGACAGTTGCAGTGAAAGTGTCTTTTGTGGTTGTGTCCTTCAGTTTCTGAGTGTTGAACTTGCATTGTGGCCTATCCCCAGCTATCCTCGAGGCTTTTAGTTTCACCTTGAAAGTCCCTTGTACTAGATAGTGGTCTGAACCCACATCTGCTCCTCTCCTTGACCTTGTGTCCAGTAGGCTCCGTCTCCACTTTCTTGAAATTGAGATGAAGTCTATTTGGTTTTTGGTGTTTCCATCTGGTGAAATCCATGTCGTCTTGTGTATATCCTTGTGTTTGAACACACTGCCACCAATCACCAAATCATTGAAGGCGCAGAAGTCTGAGAAGAGTTCACCATTGTCGTTCATTTCACCGAGGGCCTCACGACCCATGGTGAGTTCTCTTCCTGTGTTGTCTCCTCCCAGCTTCGCATTCATGTCGCCCATCAGGATTTTGATATCGCCATTTGGGACGTTGTCCATTATTGCTTGTAGTTGTCTGTAGAACGCCTCCTTCTTTTCTTGTTCTGAGATGTTTGTAGGCGCATAGCATTGAATGACTGTAACTTTCCTTCCTTTTGAGTTGAACCTGGCTGTCATTATCCTGGAGGAGATTGGTTCCCACTGCATGAGAGCTTTGGTTGCTGTTGGTGACATCATGATGGCCACTCCCTCGGTGTGCTCGTGGTTGTTCTCTGGGTGGCCGGAATATATTATTGTCTCCCCAGTTGGTAGTTGGCACCTTCCAGTTCCGTTCCATCTGCTCTCGCAGATTCCCAACACTTCTATTCTATATCTCCACATTTCTGCGGCTACCTGGGTAGTCTTTCCAGTTTCGTAGGCATATCGGCTGAGTGGCTTCCCGAAGGCTTTCACCAGCCTGCGTCATTTCACTTTCCCGATTCCAGCGAAAATTAAGGCTATTGTTTATGTTTTTAGAATTTTTAATATATTTATTCGTTGAAGTTTCTGTAGCGATTTGGTTGTTTTATAGGGGTGGAGTTGCTAGCACCACGCCTCAACCCTCCGTCTTTACCCGGGCTTGGGACCGGCTAGAAAACTAGTGAGCTGGTAATCTAAGGGAGTTTATATAACTTATTTTAATGAGGGAAAATGGAGGCTTGAATGCTCTGTAAGATGAAAGCTGTTAGTCTCTCTGGTGCATGCGATTGCACTTAGAAACGAGTAAAGTACGTCAGAATAAGTCAAAATATTTGAAATATTAAGTTTGCACTATTTAGTGGTACAACAAGTGATTTTTACAGAGAGAACAAAGTAGTTACTGATTGACTAAACAAGATACTTTTGAGTCATTTTAGGAACTACTTAAATTTAATATAAGTAGTTACCACGAAAAAGGACTAAATATTATAACAACATTTAAACAACTATGATCAGATGCAGATGAGGTTATTCACAACCAAAGCATAATCGTCCTATCATAGAACAGTTACGAAGTTGTGGTTTTCTTCATTCGGAATATGTATATATACAGAATAAACTGCGGTATAACTTGGAATATTACATTTGCTTCCTTGAATTCTTGTTTAACGCTATCATGGGTGTTACAATCAACACAAGTTTTGCTCAGATTTGAGCCATATGCGCCACATATACTCATGCACACGATGGTGTTTTGTGTTACAGGGTGATGGATACAGCAAGTTCACATTTTGTGATTCTTTTGCAAGTGTTTCTCGCTGATATTCATCTACTACATTCTACTACATGGTTCCAACTGGAGAGGTCCACAGAGAATTGGACGAATATTTAGTCACATTTCATAGTAGTGCTTTTAGTATTGACACCTTTTGTTCAAATTTTTTAGGAGATCAGGTTCTTGAAAATCATGTTTATACATGAATTCACAATTTTATGATGAATGTGGTCGAAAGAGTTGAGCGGCTGAATAAAGTGCTTCCAATCTATAGACTTGCAGACGCGGCAACACTATATGCACACTTATTTAGCAGAGCAAGGGGTCAATCTTATACACGTTTGCAGAGCCCACCTCTAGCTTAAGCATCCCGTTTAATTGGATTACTACTGGTTTTTGAAAAGTGCCTAACTTTTGCAGTGCGTTCACCAAGAATCGGAAATGAACATCTACAGAAGCTGACAAGTGGTCAACCATTGTACTAAACATTACGTATAATTCACGCGCATTCCATTGCACAATATCTCTGACGATACCTCCCTTGCTGCCACCTCCGTCGGAAGTTCCTTGTCTTTAGTTACTGGATATTTTAATTCTAGTGATCACAGCTTCTTAATTTCACTTTGACATGACCGCATTGTCAACTTCTGGACTAGAATCGATAACACTCTTGATCTTGTGTTTACAAATGACGCAGGAATATTTGAAGCTCAAAAAAGAGATCCACTACTCAATTCTGATCACTGTATCATAAGAATATTACCCAAAGTATATGGAAAGCAGGACAAAAGGGTCTTCTCACACCTTAGAAAGATAACACAACACAAATGTTATTCTCATGACAACATACTGAATCTAAGGACCATGTTAAAAGACACTAACTGGAACTTATTTACTGGTCAAGCTCTTGATAACACAATTACCAACATAACACATTATCTTAATTTCTGTCTTGATGTTTGTTGTCCAAAAATGAGACAATCTTCTTAAAATTCAATCGCTTCTCCTCTTCTCAACTCAAAAAGCTCCGCCGTGAAAGAGAGAGGTTGTTCAAAATGAAAGGTAAATCTGGTGTTAAGAGAATGAACACTTCGATTAAACTTGAATTACAAATATTGAATGCTCTCCACAACCAGAAGTTTCTTTCATGTATATCCTCATCAAACATGTGGAAGTTATTAAAGGAAATCACAGGTGGTAAGCAAATGATGAATGATATTTCTGTAGATGTTAACATGCTTAATGAATCTTTTATATGTATCCCAGCAAATGTTATGATTCCTAACTCAAATAGTGTAAACAATGACTGATTCTCATGCTTTAACACGAATGATGTCCTCAAGTGTCTTCAATCTCTCAAGCCTACTCAGTCCCTCCGTCCTGGTGGTGTTCCTGCTGTTATCCTTAAGAAGTGTGCTGACATCTTGTGTTCCCCTTCATTTTCAACGAATCGTTTTCTAAAAGTATTATACATGACTCATGGAAAAATATCAAGATTGTTCCAGTGCCTAAATCAACAAGTGGACCTAATGTTAAGTTTAGAACCATTGCAATTACCTCACTTTTTTGAAAGTTATGGAAAGACTTGTTTTACTTAATCTCGAACCCTCTTTAAAACCTTTCAATGACCCCAACCAGTTTGCTTATAAACATAGTAGGTGTACGTTAGATGCCGCTGTTGTCCTCCACCATGGCATAGTCTCTAGTTTAGATAAAGGAGCTAAATACGTTCGCTGTGCCTTTCTTGATTACACATCTGCATTTGCCTCTGTTCCCAGGTCTCTCTTGCTAAGTAAGCTTGCTGCAACACAGGTTGAGAGCTGGACAAATAAGTGGTTGCATTCCTATTTTTCTGATAGAAAGCAGTACACCGCCAGTATTCCTCAAGGTGCTGTTCTTTCTCCCTTTCTGTTTTCCTTTCTCTTACATGACTTGCCTCGTTCTGATGGTAGCCACTTTTGTTAAGTATGCTGATGGATGACCTCTCGGTTTCTATCCCTGTCAACTCTCAGTCAGATTGTTCCAAATTAAATAACTTTCCGTCGGAAATTAGTCAGTGGTCCTCTTCAAAAACGGTCTCAAGCTGAATCCGTCTAAATGTCAGGTAGTCAATTTCACTTTCAGACGAAAACGTGACCTACAGCAACTAGTTAGCTCACATGGCCCCACTATCATTGACGGCACAGAGGTTGAAAATACATCTAATATCAACTAATTTGGGCTGAGTTTTTCCACCGATCTTTCCTGGTCCTCCCACATCTTGCTAGTTACTAGAAAGATGTTTCGCTTACCGTTCTACGTTAGGAAATTTAGGCAGTCTGGCATAAAGCAATCTTTGCTTTCTCAGTTTGCCATTTCTCGCATTTTACTCATCCCTCTTTACTGCTTCCCATTAATATGCTAGGACTACCAAGTACAAAACTCCACAATACCATATCTGGCACAGCTGTTATGTGATGAGAAATCCGTTAGGTATAACACGATCAACTACGTACTGCGACACTCTAACAGAAAGTCCCATTAGTTTTTCCTTTCCTTTCCTCGTTACTATTACACTGTTGTTCTCATCTTCTATTACACACTAATTTTATATTTCATATCCTGTGGTGCATTGTTTGAAATGTAAATGATACGCTGTTCTTTTATTTATTTATTTATCTTCTTTTTTTGGGTGTTGCTTTTTGATTTTAAAATCTTATAAAACTTATGAGGTATTTAGATGCAATATATTGTAATGCACGCTGAAAATTCCATACCTGTACTACAAATACTGTTTGGAATAAAGCTGTTATTATTATTAAAAACGTTTACTATAATTATCAAAGCCTTTTGATCATTTATGTGTGCATGAAAGTTATTTCAAAAATGGATTAACTGTGTTTTTAATATCACAAGATAGAAAGTTATTATTTATTGTGTTAAAATGTTTCAAAAAGTGTGAAGAACTGCTTTTTATGAAAAATTACATAATAATGAAGGTCACATGTTGCATTGTCACAAACATTCATTTCACAGTATGATAAATTGTTCTCCGCCAATCTAAAATGAAGTGAGAAACATCAGAATGTTTAAAACTATGGTAATAAATTAATATTCAGAATTGGTGAAACATTAAGTTTTTTTTTAAAATTATTCTCTTCCTCTTTGATTTCTTTTAGAGGATCGCCTCTGAACTCCATATATATTTACGTATAGCATGTTGATCTTGCCACAGTGGTGAGGTGTTTATTTCTTGCCCTTCTGTTTATTGTTATTTTCTATGATGGATAGCGTGTTTATCATGTACTGCATTCCGCGAAAGCGTGGTCTTTTCTTCTATTTATTCAGGCCTTTAGTCGCCTTACATTCTAGTCTCAGATAAGATAGTTTCAAGTTCCGCTGGCGATTGATAGGCACTCAACTGTGCTGCAGTGTGTTTACTGGTTTTCTATATATATATCAATTTGTTGAATTCCCGTTAACCAACTCATTTGAGTATAGTCATACATGACAATGGCTATCCATCACGTTCAATGGGTAAAGGCGCAAGATTGACAAGGAACACCCAAAGTCTGTGACCAGACAAAAGCGCTGTACGTGAATGTGTCGTTCAGAACCAACCTTTTGGTCAAAATTCTAAAGGATATAATATCTTATGCATTGAAAAATGAGGTTCTTCCGGCTACTCAGTTAAAATATTATCCACAATAAACCTCTTTTTACTGCATCCATTTATGAATAGGTGGAGTAGTCACTTTTCGAAGGTGGCTAGTAAAATGTCTCACGAGAAATTGCTGCTTAGGATGCTTAGGATGTATTGAACCAGAACAGGCGAACGTTTTGGAAATAGTGATCCCCTGAATGTAATCCAACTGGAAGTTTGATGCTTAAACATAACATGAGTTTGAACTTGTCACATTCCGTCACCATAAGCAATATGTGCTAATACGTGTGACAGTAAAATTAGCACATTGTGATAGAAGTAAGCAAGTCCTTTCATTAAACAGTAGTTATTATCAACAAGCCTTTGAGCCAAGTCTAAGGCTTCCCTCTGATCGCTTTCAACCACCTAATAACAGTAGATGAGTTCATTTGATGGTGTAGTAATAACTCGGTTAGGATTATAGGACGATCAATTACCAAATTGTCATATAAATATATTCACACAACTTGATGACTTCCTTTAAATAGCCTTTCGTTGTCCATCTAGATAATGTCTGCAGCAGAAGAATGTCTACCGTAGCCAACGTTCCAAATGTATTAGCGAGTGCTCACTTTAATGGTTTCATAAGGGAATAATCAGTACCCCATGGCTGTATCCTGATCAAATCAGGACATCAAGCAAACTCTCCATGTAACTTCAAAGTCATCTATAAAATACACGCAAATCCTCTGAAACGACGAGTAAGAATCAAACGTCTTCACTGTCCACACGAATAACACTTTTCACATTGCATAATTTGCTAGCTGAAATTTACAAATCTAGTGGAAAATCCTCAGAAATATTCATTTTGTTTTTCACTAAATTCTCTGTGTCTTTATATGTATGTATATGACTGCAAAGTTTGAGGATGCCATCATAGAAATTAGTGACTCTTTGCTGGATAAATTTTATTTTACTTCACTCAATGTGAACTTATAAACTCGAATACATGTAGAAACTCCGTGTGTATTTGTAAAATGGAATAGAGCATATTTATGCGGCAAAATGTCATCATTAGATGATGAACTCATAGATATCCATGCTGGTTCCACTCAAGGAATTGATGCACAAAGTAACTCTAAGGTTTCATTTCATCTGAGTATCATTTGTGTATCCAGAACTTTTTCTATGATTGACTGAGGACCGTTTGAAATGATTTTCCTAACGAAAGTGATTGATATGTTATTCACACAGAAAGTGACTTGACACTGTTCTTAAAATGTGGATCATATTATATGTGTGAGGTGAAGCAGATGTCCGTATTAACCTCAGAGTAATGGAAGTCTGCTTTTGCTTCTCTGATCCTTGCTGCTTATGAAATCTTCATCCCTACCGCTTTCAGTTGAAACTCTGCTGCCTACTAAAGTGAACTGATGATCTTCATCGAATTTCTACATCTGAAGATGACTAGTGTTTTCTGTTGTTGGACACCGGTTATTTTTATTCAAATCTCTCCTCCGTTTGTGTGTTTGCCACCAGCTGATTGCTTTCCCCCTGTTAGTGTATACGTTTGTGTGATATGGACAATATTGGTCCATGAGGTCCATGTCTTCTGAAGTTTTCTTGTACATCCTATGTGTTCTTGCTTTATAGCTCTTCATACACATTGTCTCGCGTGATCACTTCCAATACGATAAACCTATGTCGTCGGTGATACTAGACAGACTTGTCTTCCCCTGTCTTGATTTCAAAGTCATCACTGAGTTCTACTTTGTAAGTCATTCAACAGGTGGCATTCTCACACAGCTGTTGAACGAGGTGTATTCAGGCTCGGAGAACTTTGTGGAATTGAAGTAGTTTAAAAACTGCCTCGTCATCAACATTACAATGTCTGTGAAGTTAAGGTAGAGATTTTGAAGGAATTCTATGCTCAGTTTGATGATGATGATGATGCGTAAAGTTACAATTTGATTCTCACATTATTTGTTTTTCTTGAATTTGGTCTGTTCTGCACATGCTTTTGTAAAGCCTTTTCTTTTCAACCTTAATATGTCAGCAGACATCTAGACAACCTGATTGATCTCCTAAGAATCTCACTATCAGGTAAAAACTAATCGCGACAATGAATTCCAAATTTTACAGCAGAAAATACCCCTGTGAAATGCCTCGTTACATTTTAACCAACGTCATTCAAGCCTTCATTTATCTTATTTGAAGGTTCTGGAGAAATTAAATACAGGTTCATTGAACTGATGTGTGTAATGAACGCATGCAGGTTCTGTGCCACTTCGGTGATATTAAAACGAAAATATCCTTCATACTAAGATTGCACAAACTATAATCCCAAATAAATGTGCTCAAATGAGTGAAGTTCGTCTTTTCTGTACTTTTTAAATTCTCTGTTGCGATTCAAAAGAATAAATTAAGTTCCACCAATGATTCACTTACAACTCCATGATTCGAAGTTTTTCTAACCACTTCTAAAAATGTAAAAATTAGAGTATGTGAATTTAACACAAATATATAGCAGGTTGAGACGATTGGTGTGTTTGTCGATTGGACAGGTCGATGATGTTAAGCGATCATCTGAGAGATTAAGACAGAACGTCTCTTTGTCTAAATCCCGCCTGTATTTGCGCGGGTACATTCTGTAGCCGACACGTGGTTGGGCACGTTAACGTACTCTTTTTGATGTCTTGATTGGACAATGTGTTTTACTTGGTCTATTAGGTCTGGTGTTACGCCACAGCGATGACCATACACCATGTTCCGGGTTTCAGGGTGAAGCAGTCGCTACAATATATCATCATTTGTAGACGATTTAGTGTTTCCTGCGGGTAGTGTATGTGCTTGAGCAGGAATCATACTGTGAGGCACTGGGTTCTATCCCTTACTGAAGTAACTGATTTTACTGTTGTAACGAAATCTAACGACTTCGATGAAATCAGTTTGCCGAAGTCACGACGAAATTTGTTCCTGTACAGCAAATAAGCAAGTTAACAATGACTTTCAGCTGCAGAGTCAGAGCTATTTACTCAGAAGATGTAATTAGCATTGAGTATGATAACTTAATTCAACGTAGTTATGCAGAATAGTTCATCAGGGAACACATGACCAAGAAGGTTCACAGAGACAATTCTCTATCTGCAAGTAAGCAGCCATTATATATAAGACGGCAATGAAAGAGTGATGTATTGAGTGAAATATTTACTCACAAGTTACTGAAATTTATTCAAAGAACTTTTGATGCGGGTGAACTACAAGTCAACAGTTGTGATTCTCCAAATGTAAGATGAAGTGCCTGAACTAGTCACCTCTAATTGAATTTTGCGGAGAGAATTATATTGGCCTTTGCTTTGGGAACTTTAATTTCGGTGTTTGCTTGGGGACACCTAAGATCATCTCTAAGCGTAGTGCCAAACAGTTCAATACTGAACAACCTGATCAAAGCCAGTAATAGAGGAGAGTAGCATTGAAGAAACCTTTTCCATCGTTTACCAAATAAATTTTCAAAAGCATACAGGTGTCTTTCGCGATTCATCCGAAACGATCAGTGCTCCTTGTGCACGAGAAACAGTCAAAGCCAATACTACTGCTCTAGCCTTATATGAAGCTCATTATTTCATGCATTCTGTATGATTAGTTCTCCTTAGTCGGATGATATTCCACATACTGATATATTGATGCATATTATCACACCTACAGGTGCAACTAGGACGTGACCTGGCAAAACACTCATCTGTGAGGTATAAAATTAAAATGGCTTCCTACATCATAATTAGTTGTCTAGTTGTTTAATGATGCATAATATGAAATTGTCTAATCTACGCTGCACTCCATGTAGTTATAGCGAAAATTCACCTCTCATTGTTTGATAATACGTGCATGAATACCAATATTAGCGTAAATTATTTCGAATAACAAACAGAAAATTACACAGTTTGTCCTCTCAAGTTAAGTATTCTCTTTTGCCGGACTAGTCTCTTACACACGACATATTCAGAGTGTGTAATCAAAAGTGATGGTTTTTTCTTACGGTACAAGATGTCATTAGTAGATCTTTACCTGCGAAGTTTCTTCAACAGGCATATGAATGAACCAGTAGAGTGCTGCGTAGAATCTCACCAATTCCATGAATAACGTCTCACTTTTACTTGCCTGATAGATTTATAGAATCTTTCGTGATACGTTGCATTGAAATGTCATCTTAAATTCCTTCTAACGCCGATCAGATAAAGGTTAAATATGTACCTACTGGCAAGGTTTTTGAACACAAGTTACTTTTTTTTATGAGGTCACTGATATAGAATTCATAAATGATTCCTTGGGATGTTATGGGGAAATACTTGTCATTCTAGTTATTGAATCGAAAGTTTCCGTTCTAAGGGAGTTTTGCACCAGTCGGATTGCATTTCTGGTGTACAGTGACTAGCCCCACGCCTAAATGCTACTCTTTTTGCATGATTCAAGGCTGACTATTGAAACAGCGAACTAGTAAATCCATCACTATCACCAAGGAATGTCTGGAAGATTCCACCTGTTTCACTCGCTCTGACTATCAGCATTACTTCGATCACTTGCAGTACCAATGAGTGTGTAAATAACAGGACTGGATAAACAAGACTGATCTTCATGCATCTGAAATCAGCTTAAAAAACTTCACTACAAATGACCTAATAAATAATATATATCGACCTTAAACACTTATGCTAACTGAATGCTTCCACAGAGTTTTCCAGAAGGCTACTACAGACTTTAAATAACTACCGCTCTACTTTCCTGCATACTGAGTAACGTATAGCCGGTAGGACAGATTTAGTCGCACCAAGCTCGAACAACTAGGTGACCAATAACAAAAATCACTGAAAAAATGCACATAGTGAAATGGAAATTGACTGATGAGATACTTATAGGTCTACGGAGTGACAGTACGCTTCAAGAAAACCCATTGACTGATACTTTCATTAGACACTGACATTTTTCACATAGTTCTGACTGTGACATGGAGGAAATAGAACAAGAAAGAGAGGTGGGAAATCTCTCTGACAAATAACGAAGCACAAAAAAACAAAGTGGTGGTGTACGGTTAAATTTTATTAATAATAATTTTTCCTTCACGTTCCCCAGTTGAACATAGGGCTTCGAGCTAGTGGCTTGAAGTTTCTGTAGCAGCGTTTTATTTTACAGGATGGGGTTGCTAGTCTCATGCCCAGGCTTTCCTCTTTACCAGCTTTATTTCTGGCTTGGAGAGGTAAAGGAGTGCGTCGGCCGGGGATCGAACCCCAGACCATATGCATTGTCGGCGAGCGTCCTAACCGCTATACCATCGACGCACCGACGGTGGTGTACTGCTGAAGACCGATATTTTGTGACCCGAGCAATAAGAATAAAAATGTCGTAATACATTTCAGGAGTCGAGTATTCTACTGAAGGTAAAATATCTTCTAAATGCGTTCGTTATTTAAGGCGGATTCTGCTCTCAGAAACATCATCCAACCATGATAGAAGCAGAGCAAAAGTGGTTCGAAATTCATTATAGAAATCGAACAAATCGAACGTTGTTATTCCTTCAGACATACTTTCTTTACGTTTTTCGGTAGAAGTTTTCGATTCTGTAAACAACAAAGAAATAAAGAGTAGAAGAAGCGTAGGATAATATTCAATATATCACGATATAACTGTTCATAAAAGCAGTGAATGTCAAAATATCTGCTTTAGTATAATTTGACAGCTTCACTGTTGACGTGGTAGCACAAATATTCACACTGCTCTTTCAAACCTTTGACTTAAATACTCAATATTGTAAAACATCATTAGAAACGTGCGTTCCAATATGCTTATTTCAGCATGATTTATTCATCCTATTTTTTTCAGCGAAATTTGCTTTCTCCAACACTTTTAAAGAATATATTTTTTATTATTATTATTATATCCTTTAATTCCTAGAGGAACATAGGGCTTCAGCTGCGCGTCTCCAGTGCCTTCTGCTTTCTGCCAACTTTTTCAGCCAGCTCCAAGTCTTCCCACATGCTTTCATCTCCTCATCACATGACCTCCTTCATGTCATTCCACAGTGGGACGACCAACTCGCCGTTTCCCTTTCAGGTTCCACTCGAGCAATGGCTTGTCTAGTGATGTCACTTGATGGTTTTTTCCCTCAGAGTATCGCCAATCCATCCTCATTTCTTCCTGCCTATTTGTTTCGCAATCGGTTCCTGTTGAGTTGGTTCGCTCCCAGAGATCTTTGTTGCTGATCTTTTTTGGCCATCTGATCTTGAGCTGAGTATTGAGCGAAGACGACTGTTAATGGAGGTTTGAAGTTTGTTTGAGATGCTCTTTATGACGCGCAGTGCAAGTCTCTGATCCGTATGGTGAGTAGCACTGACTTCTCATTGGATGTTATTTTTGATCCTGTGTGCTGTTGACCTTCACACAGAGTTAAGGGTAATCAAAGCCTGTCTTGCTTTTCCGATTCTGGCTTTGATATCCTCGTCAGTTCCGTCGGCCTGTAGTTGAAACGATGCTTCCCAGGTAAGTGAAGGAGGCTGTTTCTTTCAGGTTCCTCCTATTTATGCAGGCTGATTGTTGTCTGTTGTCGTTGTTGCTGTTGATGTTGGCCAGGAATCTTCATCACCTCTGCTTTATCTATGTTCACCTGAATTCCTATCATCTCAGGATGCTTCTTTTGCCAGCCTATTGCTTTTCACTTTCATATCTTCCGGTTTGTTGGAAATCAGACATATATCATCGGCGAAGTCCAGATTCTCCAAGTTTTCGTTTTGTGTGAGTCCATTTTATGCATGTTTCTTCATTGCCCGTTTTCTGTCGCATTATACAGTCTACTGCAATCAGGAAGATACTTACAAAAATATATATTGGCCTATTAATATAATTACTCAGAAGTGGCTTTAGAAGTTAAAAAATTAAAAGTTGTAAATCACGTGATACTCAACGGCACAAAGATAGACATTTGATAAGGTTGAAATTTCTATTGAGTGAGAATAAAGGTGGTAGTTGAGTGTCAATTGAAGAAGTGTGAAGAGGGTGTGAAATGTATGGAAGGAGCATATGAGAGTGATAATAGTGAATTAATTATTTAAGCAAAAGTAAACTAAAAGTAAAATATAAAAAAAAAGAAAAAACCGAAACCTTTTTTACAGGGAAAGCCACTTCTAGGTTATCGTGTCAATCATATCAACCCCTGTACTACTCAATAATGGACTACTTTGCATTTTCGGTAAATAGGAATACGACCCTACAGAATCTGAAGATAATTTTGATGATAAGGAGAATTCCCTTAGCTGATTTGTTAGTTGTTTTTTTTCATGGCTCAATGGATATTTTCGATGATTTGTTTTGGTATCCGCAAGGTTTTCAATGATTGCCTCTACTCTAACTCAACTCGGGCAAATGTGAGAGAATCGGGTTTTCGCCAGCTGTCTATTCCATGACAGCTTATAATGAATACATCTCCTTGTAGCAACATCAGTCCTCCATGACAATTTCTCTTTGAGAAAAAAGAATGCTAGAAACATTATCTTCTTCCGGTATGGCTCACTTTCATGAATCACAACAGTTATAAACTAAAATTAGTGACACATTTAGGCTAGCTATCGACAAATACCGAAAAAGAATCCCCGATAGTGTGACGAATTCACTTAACCTGCAGAAAATAACCGTTTGATGGTCAATCTGACCTAGAAAGCCTTCTGAATGCACCACACGTTTCAGTAAAACACATTGTGAAGCGAATTATATACCATAATATTTTTATTTAAGGGTGAGGACTACTTGACTACTAGGTCTATTGGTCTGTATAGTGAAAAAGAATATAGATTAGACAGTTGATTGACTTCAACAGCGCGGCACTTCATTAGAAAGCGAATATCCATAAAGATTTATTATCAGTAGTAAAATGACATCAATCCGTGGTCATATTTGAAGAGCAAATCAACCCTCCCAAAAACCAACTCTTGATTAGTGATCTGATGGTCGTTAGTGGCCGGCTACCATATGACGATTCCTGAGGTTCTAGTCAAAAGTATTCACCAAAAGATACCCTCCTGTTAACGATCTAGCTAAATACTCGTCGGTAGCTCTAAAATCACGAATTTGTAGAAAATAGTAGTATATGTTAGCCAGTGAGCTGGCCTCTATTGGTTGAATGCTCCATTAGCTTGACTGGTAACTTCAACGTCCTGGATTTTATGCCTAGTGGGTGCTTACTGACGAGGAGTTAAAAAGCATAACTCAAACAGCTCTATCCAGTACACTCTGTAAATTTTCAATGGTTCTCTAACTGATATCAATTCATAGGCAAACTTGAGAAAGATCTACAACAGTTCCTAAGAGAATTAACAACACAAACTTGAGTTCGCAGGTAATACTGTAATAGAAGTTCTCAATAAATGTCTTTTCAAGTCAACTGAGGAAAGGCGTTCAGCTAAGATGCTTGAAAATAGGATTCTACAGAAAATGTTCAATGTAAGAAAATAATTTCACGTGAAGAACAGAACCTCGCTTTTTTACCAGTTCTATATGGGCTCATGAATTGACTACCTTTTGCAGAACTGTACACAATTGTTTACAGTTCTGCAAAAGCTTAAGCTTATATCCGTAGATTTATTTCAAAACACTGCACAACTCGCCCAACCGGTGGATCAGTAGTTTTATCTTTACACCTTTTAAAGAAGTTAGATAACATGCCCAATTGGTATAATTGCTTCGCACTGGTACACACAATTTCACAATTTAACACAAGTCACAAACTACTGACTACTTGCGAGCGAAGGCGTAAACTTTGTGTACAAAGAAACACCACAAATCCAACAAAAACCGACATTCACTAATAGCTACTGTTTTCACCTGAAACTGAATAATATACAGTTGACCAGAAATAAAAGAATCTTGGGAAACTTAGCGAAGAATTCAACAATCTTATACCAGAAGAAATAAAGTAAACAGAATAATTCAAAGGCGTATAAATAGAACATGCAATGAATATGGTGACGCGACAAATAACCTACGATTTTAGAGTGAGTATAAGAACTACATGGAGGGGATCATATAGATAGAGAAATGAAAGATCATGAGTACTTTGAAAGCCCTTGTCAAAGCAATAGAAGATATTCTGTGAGAATGAATATATATATACTCGTGAAGCTTTATACTCTCCTTCGATATACGAGGGTAGTTTAGTGGGAGATATGTCCACCACCTTGATAAAAAGTGGAATACTGAGAACGTGTACACATTGACGTCCAATTAAAAGTCGATTTTAGATAGCACAATAAATTGTGTGTATGCAAAATTCACCATAAACATGAATACCAGCCTGAAGGACTATATCACAAGTGTATGTTAACAAAGTATCAGAAATGAACTCACTCTGGATGACCCGGGAATTCCCAAACAATCTTCCTAAATTTGATAAAAAAATCAGATGTATGATGGCGAAAAAACAAAGAAGTCTTACCTTTGATGGGGTTGTGTTCTCTGAGCTGGATGGTTGATTTGCAGATCTTTCATCACCCTACTGGGTGACATCTTCTGCGAATACTTCAATTTGAAGTGAGCTTTTAGATTTCTTCACGAGTTTATTAATCATCTCTCCTGGTGAGCTTGGAAGTGATTGGTTGTTTTTTGTGTGTTTTCATACCTTCTAGGTTACTTGTATTGGAACTGATTGTTTCTCTGACTTGAACTTTGACCCTTTGTGTGTGAAGTTTCTTTCTTATTGGTTGATAAATTTTGTCTATTTCTATGTGTCTATTGATTGATGATTCACTGGAATGCCGGCCAAGCTTCTAAAAATTCTCTAGCATTCTTGTTCTTTCCTCCGTCTAATATTTGAACGTTGTCCTAGTCGAATTGATGTCCATGGTTGTCTGTGTGTAGTGATATGAGGGAGTGGATATCATGTCTTTTAACGGCTAGCTTATGTTCGCGGATTCGAAGTCCAAGAGGACGTTCACTTTGGCCAATGTAGAGATTTTCGCAGTTGTTACAATTTATTTTGTAGATGATGTTAGTTTGATCTTTTTTGCTGTTGAGTTTTTTGGTTGACATAGAATTGAGTGAAGTGACTTTGTTGGTTTGTGTACGACGTCAATTCCTGAAGTTGTTTGAAGAGTCTTGTAGTGATTTCTGAGATATCCTTTATATATGGTAAGGCGATTTTCTTTGTGTTTTCCTTAGTGGCTTTTGTTTTGGTAGGTTGGCTTGGGGGTATATGTCTCTTGATGAAATTCCGTGGATATCCATTCTTTTGGAAGACGTCCATGAGATACTTTTCTTCAATTTTTCTTAAGGTGGGAGTGCTGCAGTGAGTCCTTGCCCTCTTGAATAGTGTTTGTATTCCTTTTGTTATTGTTGTTGCTGTTGTAATTCAGTATTTGGTCTGTGTGAGTTGATTTCCTATAAACTTGAGTTTCTAATTCTCCTGTAGTTGTTCGCCTGACTAAGACGTCCAAAAATGGTATTTTGTTCTCGGATTCCTCTTCTCTTGTGAATTTGATGTCGTTGAAGACGTTGTTTATTAAGTTGTGAGTTTTATCTAATTCGTTTCTTTTGATTATTACAAATGTGTCGTCGACGTAGCGTATCCAAATCTTGGGTTTGATCTTTGGTAGAATTATGTTTTCGAGTCTTTGCATCACTGCTTCTGCAATCAAACCTGATATTGGCGATCCCATGGGTGTTCCTTTGACTTGTTCATATATTTGGCCGTTGAATTGGAAGTATGTTGTTAGGCATAGATTTATGCATTCCATCCAGCTTGTGTGTTGCATTTTTGATTGTTGTGGAAGTTGTTCGTCGTTGCTAAGTAATTGCTCCATGGTTTCTTTTGCTAGGTTTTGTCCGATGGATGTATATAATGCTGTCACGTCGAATGATACCATTATTTCTTGTTCATCTATTTGGATGCCTCTGATTTTCTCTAGGAATTGGATAGCAGAGTTGATGGAGTGATCACAAGATTCCGTTAGGTGTTTTAGTTTTCTGTATAATTCCTTGGATAAATTATATGTTGGAGTTCCTGGGAGTGATACAATTGGTCGTAACGGGATATTTGCCTTGTGTATTTTGGGTCTGCCGTAGGGTCTAGATAGGACTGGTCCATTGGATTTCATTCGCCATTGGTCTTGTTTTGTGATCTGTCCAGTTTTGGTGAGCTTGTTTAAGGTCCTTTGGATGCGGTTGTCCAATGTTTGTATGGGATTTGTTGGGAGTTGTTGATATACATCTTCATCTTTGAGTAGTTCTTCAGCTTTCTTGGTATATTCTTCTCTGTCCATGACTACTGTTGTTCTTCCTTTGTCGGCTGGTAAAATGACGATGTCCTTCCTATTTTTCAGCTTTTTGAGGGCCTTTAGTTCTTAGAGTTGAGTTGTGTGTGTTGTCTTTTCTGTTTGACCATTGGTACAATTGTTTGGCGTATCTCTTCCTGTGTTTCCTCGTTCAAGTTTGATGATTTGAGTAATGATTCAAGGGCAGCGAAGAAATCAGTTTTTGAAGCATCTCCGGTGTTGTAGTTTAATCCTTTTTGTAGTAGTTGTTGTTCCATTTTTGATAGTGGTTGTTTTGATAGGTTGACTACGCAGTCTATGGGCGTATTGTCTGGTTGTTGTTTTTTAATCTTGGCTAGCTTGGTTTTGAGGACTTTTCGTCTTTGTTCTCTGTGTTTTCAACTTGAAAATCAGCGTTGACAGGTGTTCCTGGTTGAGGGTTTTCTCTAATTTTACATTTTGGAACACAACCATATCAAAATCAATTATTTTGAATATTAGTATAATCACAGGATATTAAATCTATTTGAGAATATTTTGCGAAACGGTCACTTTCGAGCATGATTTCATGTCAGATTCATCTTACTCGGTACTACGCACTCGATAGGCTTATTGTTGGTTGTTGTTTTCTAATCTTGGCTAGCTGGGTTTTGAGGACTCTTCGTCTTTGTTCTCTTTGATCAGCGGTGATCAGCGTTGACAGGTGTTCCTGGTTGAGGGTTTTCTCTAATTTTGCTTTTTGCACGTCTATTATTTGTTGATATTCGTTGATCCGATAATGTGCGTCTGTAATCATTAATTTGACCATTCGTTTTCCACATCGTTTGGCCAATTTCCATCCCATCGGGCAGTTGACTAGTGGTTTGTATCTTACACTGGTTGGGGGGTTTTTGATGACGAAGGCATTCATGGAGAAAGAATAATTGTTCTCTGATGGATCTTAGCCTTTTGGTGAAGTCTTCCTACTTTCGAACAGAGAGAAGCGTATCACGCTCGTAAGATTTAGATATGATAGAGACATAAACAACCAATCACTTCCAAGGTCACAAGGAGAGATGATTAATAAACTCGTGGAGAAATCTAAAAGCTCACTTCAAATTGAAGTATGCGCTGAAGATGTCACCTATTAGGCCGATGAAAGCTTCTTAAATTAACTAACCAACTCAGAGAACACAACCACATCAAAATCATCCACCTGAGCTACAAATTTTCTCTACCATATTCAAATAAAGGAGTTTTTCTCTTCTCTATTCTGACTTTTCTATTTAAAATAATGCACAGTATCAGTCGAAACAATAGAATAGTATCTCCCTTTGATACGTGAACTGAACATCAGCCAGTTGAGCAACCGAAGGTGATCAGTAGCAAGAAAAATTATAACCAATCACGGAAGCAGTTATCAGGGTTGTAGGTGATAGACTGAAACAGCTAAAGTTTCAACAGTGCAGACAAGTTGGACGCCTGATAATTCGGGTAGGTTATTTTACACCTTATAGATAACTGTAAAGAACTTTATTAAAAGAAAGTGGCTAGATAAGGAATCACTGAGTTGCTTGTGGCTTTGCCTTTACCTACTGATAACCACGCAGGATAGTATAATTATAGCCACTTGGACGAATCGGTGTAGTTTTCAAAAGTAAAATCTTACACTCAACGAAAAGAATATTCTATTCTCCGACGCTGAAAGTAGCTTTCTCTAGGCTACCATTAGTGTTCATCAATAACCTGTTGAACAAGATCCCTCAGATGACATACTCCATACATAGTTACCTGTTCGTCTGTTCTTGTAGCACTAGGCATATGAGTGAGTTTACTGATGTGGATGTTTCCCAAGAGGATTCATGAAGATTGTCTTGTGTGATTAAAAGAAAGTGGAATTGAATATATGACCACCATATTTGGAATGGTTATACATCCCCTGTCTATATCACATATACAAACATATATATATGTGCATATGTATGTTAGAGTTATGCCAGAGGTAGGAAACTCGTATAAAAGTGAGCCAGTAACTGTTGGACATAGTTTTTGTCCTAGTTTGACATTCTTCTTCAGTTTGCATGCAATGGCGTGGGGACCCTTGGACGTCCCACTCGCCGCTTCCCTTTTGGGTTCCACTCAAGCAATGGCCTGACGCGCGCGCGATGTCACTCAGTGGCCTCCTCAGCGAGTGGTGATGATGGTGGTGATTCATTTCGTCCCGGCCATCTGATCTTCAGTATATAGCAAAGACAGTTGTTGATATTGGTCTGCAACCTGCTGGAAATATTCTTTGTGACCCGGCCGACAAGTTTCTGATCCGATTCTCCGACCAGTTTTTTTGGTTTCCGCTCGTAAGTCTTCAATTTTGTGTGATATCAAATATAAATCATCCACGCGCGAAATCCAGGTCTTCTAGGTTCTTCGCGTCGGTCGGTCCAGGATATTCTTGTCTTCTCGTTTCCCACTGTCTGACGCATAATCCAGTCCACCACAATTAGGAATATCATTGGTGATAATACACACCCTTGTTTGACTCCTGTGTTTACTCCAAACGCCTCGTTGAGTTTTCCGTTGTGGATCAGTTGATATGCGCCGTTGTCGTACAGCTGTTGAATAAGGTTGACGAATATTTGAGGTACGCTGTAGTACTCGAGGAGATTCCAAATTACTTTGCCGTCAACTCTGTCTGTCGAAGGCCTTCTCAAAGTCTATGAAGTTGAGTTACAATGAGGTTTGATTGCTATTTCATGCTTTGTTCTGTGATGATGATGCATAGAGTTGCAATTTGGTCAGAACATGATTTGTCTTCCCTGAATCCAGCTTGTTCTGGTGGGGCGGAGTTCTGTCTCCAGTGCGTCCTTTATTCTCTCCAGGATGATGCGACTCAGGATTTTACTTGGCGTCGACAGGAGCATGATTCTTCGCCAGTTCTTGCAGAGCGAGTCCTAAGTCTCCCCTCTTTGGTAGTTTCACGAGGTAACCTTTCCTCCAGTCAGTAGGCACCTTTCCCTACTTCCAGATCATTTGCAATAATGAAGTCAGCATATCTGCTGTGGTCTCTGGGTCCGCTTTTAGTGCTTCAGGGGGTATCCCATCTGGTCCAGCTGCTTTATCAGCTTTCAGAAGAAATGATATTATACTGGAAGTCAAACAGAGTTCTAGTAAGAATTCATAACCATCAAAGTTCAACAAGTAAGATTCGAGGACAATTATTTACCGATGACATTAGCTACCAACTGCGCTATCCAGATATATATATATATATATATATATATATATAGGAGTAAATCCAAAGAGGCTTAATCCTACTGAAGTTAAACACATCGAAATTCTTACCTAATGCATTCGACTTTCTTCCTGTAGCTTCAGCTGTAAACAACAAATAAGGAATGAGCAATTACACAAATTCATGAAGCTCACTAGTAAGATGTTTCTAAGCTTGTTGTAAATGCAAAATGCGGAAATCGACCTCGAAAAATTAATAGTATGAACTATTTTCGTTTCATATATTGAAATTCAACCTGAGCAAAGAATATTATATTCGATAGGTCCCCTCTTCAGGTTCTTACAATGACAAAATATAATATTTGATGTCGTTGCGAAAGTGACCAATGTTGAACGGGGAAGATTTACAAGTCATATGAAGGTATTAGAAGGTGTCTGGTTAAATAAATAAGCAAATTGAAAGAGGGATTAAGGGAAGAAGTATTCCTGGTTGGAGGCAGAAACTTAAATCCAACTTTAACCACATACAAACAGCGCCTGAATGTTTTTATTTTTGTTATAAACGTCTGGTATAGTCTATCTTACTTCAGTAGCTTCAGCTGTATATATATATATATATATATATATATATATATATAGGAGACGTGAGCGAGTTGAACGTGATAATGACTTCAGATTTCGCTATATATATAGTGCTCATTATTGCGTTCACGTCAATACAGTGGTCATTATTGACCAACTGTAGAAGAATTGAAAGTTTTTTGTACAATTTTAATCCCCCTCATTCAATGCTCCTGGTTAATCTTCTTGAAACTGTGGACAAACTTGACTAATCGTGAGCCCTTTTATGAATTGAACGACAGGAAGAAGTTGAAATCTCATATACCAAGATTAGGTAGGACATCTTCCAGTTGCTTGGTGAACACCGAACGTCTACTGAAGGAGTTGTAAGAACCTAAAGAGGAGGATTTATTGCAAATAATATTCTTTGTCCAGATTGACTTATAACTCAAAAACATGTACAACTTTCAGAAAAGTATAACATGCTATTAGCTAATGTCAGTAAATAGTTTAAGCATTGTAGCATTGAAGCATAATTAAACAATTTATTTGATGCTATGAGCTGACTACTCAGCATCATAAGATAAAAAAGGACGCACTTGTTTTACTATAGAGATTATTTTTAGCAAACTCATTAACGCTTTAATTTACATTGCTGCTTATGTGTACCATGGATGTGCAATTCCAATTGGACAACACTTTTTACCGCCAAATAGATGGTGTAACTATGGGCAGTCCACTTAGCTCTGTTCTAGCAGATATATTCATGTCAAACCTTGAAAGAACAAAGCTGAAGCATGCAATCGACGAAACGTCTTCCTTATGTCGTTATGTTGATGACACATTTATAGTGTGCAAAAATGAAAGTCATGCTTCACACTTACTAAGTTAATTCAATGGTGCACACTATGGAACATGAAAGTGACGGAAAGTTTCACTTCCTCGACATCACCACTGAACGCCTAGAAGGCGGTGGTCTTCAAAAGTCAATTTATCGAAAGCCCACATGGAAAGGACAATACTTGCATTTTAATAGCGTTTGTCCAAATAGCTATAAACGTGGTCTAGTCAAGACTGTGTACTATAGAGCGAGGAGAATATGCTCTATAGAGAAACTAGAGGAGGAGTTTGAGTTCCTTGAAAAGATATTGAAGAAAAATGGGTATCCTCAAAGATTCATCAAAAAGAATGGAAGATCTGAAATCACAAATGTAAAACAAATCACAGTGGGAAAAAAGCCAGTCTACCTTCAGCTTGATTATAAAGGTGAAAACATTGCAGACTGAGTACATCACTAGGTATAGCCTATCCTGAAGCTAAGCTCATTCCCGTCTATTGAACAACTTGCTATTTGGTGCAATCAAAAATCGATAGATATCCTTCTCTTGTTACCTCCAACTGTATATACAAATTTACATGTATCTGCGGGAGCAGTTACATTGGAAAGACAGAAAGAAGAGCAAATCTAGGATTTTTCTGGATATGTACCAAAAAGCTTACGTCTAAAGGGAACAAATGCTTTAAACAGTGCCATCGCCTGGCATCTCCACGACAATAGTCATGAGGTGGACGTCGAAAAGTCGTTCAAAATTATCAATAAGCAAAATAGCCCAATTCTCCCCAAGTTTCCTGAACCGATTTCTATCAAACGCTTGAAACCAGATCTATGTGTTCAGAAAGAAGCAGTTATTAGTCTTTCTTTGCCCTGGTAACTGGATATTATCACCTCTCTTTCTTCCGAATGCGAAATGCTAAAAGTTTCAATTGTGTATGATCATTATTGTTCGGAATAGTGTTTAGTATTGCATATCTGTATATGTATATTTTTAGTGTATGCCTATAGTGATCGATTGATTTTTGTTTAAAATGAACTCTGTGCAAGTATGTCGAAATTGTTCTTCACCATGTAAGCGGCTGACGAGAAGGCAAAGAAATAAAAGATGGTATCATTTTATTCTGCTAAAACTGCAGATCTTGCTTTGTTCAAATTTACACTCTATTGGTTGATCCTGACGAATAGTTACATTCCGCTCACATCTGTTTGCATATCAGATCGAAGGTGGATAGACATGGGACGACCGTTTGGCTCATTTGAAGCCAATATCATTCAGCTACATACTTGACTGTAACCACTTGATATCTAAACGTCTACGTTGGTGGTGCCAAAAATTTAATTCATATTCAAAAAACATTTTATGCAGATAATTTAACATATTCCACAATTTGCCGTTTACAGAGTTCACGGGATTATGATTTCCCGCGAAAATTTCGTTATGAAAATAATTTATATTCATGAGTCAAACTGTGTAAATTGGTTATCGTGAATTTGATTTGATATTATTACTAGTTCTACGAAGCAGCTAGTCAGTTAATGGATCCTTTGAAGTGATTTGGTTTTTTTGAAGTGAGTACAAACGTATAAGGCAATGATGTGCTTGGCACGCACAAATAAAGGAAACAAGTGAGGAATGCTTAGATTTCTGGGATTTTGGTATCAAACAAGCAAGAATATATATGTCCATCGGTCAGACAACAGTGTTCCTCATTAATCCAGGAATTCCCAAGACAAATATCTGTTATAACGAAGACCACATATATAAACAGTATAATCTAATATTGCCAGAATAACCTAGAATTCGAAAGCGAACTATGATTAAAATTTAACTTTTAGGTCGAGCCCAATTCGAAACAGAAATGTTTGACTACTGCTGTCTAGATAGAAGATGACTCTCTCGGCTGATTTGAATTAGTGGACTGTCAATACGAAGCATTCTTTTACATTTTACTATCTAATAGGATATATGACTATTACGAACGGCTTTTCGTTGAACTTCATATGCCAAAGAATTTTGATTCAGTTTGCAGTCAACTGATCTCTCAATACTGAAGAAATTGTTTTGTTTCACTGGCAAATACACTTACTTACCAACACGATTTTCAAGAGACATTACTGCGTTCACTATTTTGAAAAAAAAAGAAATATATTTACGACTACAATAGATAATTTTATTCCTAAATCAGGTGAAGTAATGAAGTTCATTTTTGTGTCTATCCCTGTCTATTTCCAGTCAAAATGTTTTTAGGCTTCAGATTTGAAGTTTCATGAGTAGTTCTGTTCGTTTTAAACCGACTGCTAGACTGCTAGAAGTACGACAAACCTTCCGTCTTTCCTGGGCTTAATATGAGCTAAGTGGCGTTATCGAGTATATACAGTGAAGTAGATTTGTAACTCAGGTGGAAGATTGTGACTTAGTTCACGAAGCTTCCATTGTCTTTCTAGGCAACGTCTTCAGCGCATGCCTCAATTTGAAGTAGGCTTTCAGAAGTATTCAGGAGTTTATCAGTCATCTCTGTTGGCAGTTGCTTGTATTTTGAGTCATTTTACACTTTCTAGGCTTCTTGCATTGAAAGTGATTTTCACCATGACTTAAACTCTGACATTCTGTGTGTGTGAGATTTCCTGATTATCTGTCGGTAAATTTTGTCTTTTACGATGTGTCTCTTGGCTGACGATTTACTGGAATACCAGGTTTTGATAAATTCTCCAGCATTCTTGGTGTTTAATTTATTTATTTTATTTATTTTTATTTTTAATTACAGCTTGATTCCACACCGTATTTTTGGTACAAGTATGGAATTTTCAGCATGGATATCGGTAGCCCAAATTTCGCAGACCGATCATAGATATCAAGGTTTGACGTTGTTCCGGTCAAATTGATGGCCGTGGTTGTCCGTATCTAGTGAAATGGCAGAGTGGTTATCATGTCTTTTACCAACTAGCAAATCTTCATAAATACGAGGAAGTGTGCTTGGTCAATGGATTGCTTTACGCAGGTGTAAACATTCATTTTGTAGATGATGTTGATTCCATCTTCATTCGTTGATGAGTATTTTGATTGACATAGAGCTAGTGGAAGGGTGCAGCGTCAGTGATGGAAGGTGTGAGGATATCAAAAATGATTTTCGAGAAAAAAATTTTGAATTGTTTGGAGAGATGCTTGTGCTTCCTCAGGGAAACTTTTATTTAAGGGGTTTACTAGAAAAAGGTTACAGTTTCATGGAATTAGGTGGATATACATTTTGCGGAAAAACAACGTGCGATAAACTGCCAGAAATTTCACAGAAGAGGGAGTCTCGCAAAGTGTATTCCGTGCAAGCATCGAAAAGTGAACCAATTTTATCGTGGTTGGCATTCACATATCAAGATGATATGAAGCCGGATCATGTGCTGTCTCCACAGCTATCTTATCTTAGGTGACTCTACTAGTGGCTAGTCAATATATCTGTGTGTTTGTTTGTTCGTTGAAGTCAACAGATGCGTCACAAGCCATGAACGACTAGTTAGATGGTGCTTGTGACTTCACAGAAAGGAGGGGATATATTTGTTACAAAAAGAGATAACCTCAGCGTCAGAGTGTAATCAGACAGAGAATGCGAATATGGAGAATTTCGTCGCTAGAGGAACGGAGGATGTTAATCAATAATTTTGAGGACAAAATGGTTTGCAAAAAAAGCGAAAAAATGAATCAAACACCAAATTATCAATATTATCAATGCGAATGCAGTTAAATACGCTCACATTTTCCTCGATAAAATCTGTCATCAACATGACCTACAATATAAAGATAAACACATAACACAAAAATGTAAAAAAATTACAAAAAATTCGAATAACATGTTTAAAAAAAACACAAAAACGTCTGCATAACTATCCACTGTGACGAATAAATCCTACTGGTTGTTGGCTGTCCCGACTTATCAATGACGTGAGTATCTCGAAGGCCAGTCAGAACATATATCCATGTGGCATTGTGCTCGCGGCTTTTGACTGTAGATTTACGACTTAGTAAGGCCTCTTATCATTGGTCTATCTTCTTAGTGATTCAAATATCCACGGTTGAGTGTCGAGTCAGGTAGCGTGACGGACAGTGATTGAAAGAGTAGGCTCTCGAATTTACCAGACAATAATATGCAATAGACGCATGAACTAGGCGGTTGCATCAACGATCATATTATGAAAGTGTAAAAAGTATGCCATGCCCATGAAAACTAAAAAATAAGCGAATTAATCCATGGAAAGATGGCAGAGGAGACTGACACGAAAACAAATGATACGAGAAAATAAGAAGAATGACACAACGATTTCACGGACTCACCTCGTCGAAGCTCTTCTTCCTCAGCTACAACACAAAACAACACCAGATTAGGCAAGGACTCCAAACAGTTGCTTATCAGGCATGCTAGCATAGCCACTCACATCGATTATCTCTTGTATTTCCTGTGCGTTTCTAGTGGAACATACAGCTTCGAATATGAACTACAAAGTTTCACTGGAGATGATGTATCTTCCATAGGATGAGATTCTTAGCTTCAAACTAGACCATCGCTGTTTTCCCTAGGCTTCTTATGACAGATGATATATGATCTGGGGATGCATTTATTCGATGAGGACCGAAACCGGGCCACAGTCGTCGTCGGACATCCTTCCACAAGTGAACCATGGAGATACACCATAATTTTACGGAGAGTTAAAAAAGGTGTTTCACTCTTAGACACTGGTTACTGATGAAATAGTGCTTAGTTTTAAATGCAACTGAACCAATTAGAACTGAAGTGAGTATAAATCTGGTCGAGGAAAAAGACGTGCGCCTGATAAGGTAATGAGTAGTTCATATCGCATGGTATTATTTTGAAGTTGCATTGTACAGCTAAATATCCGTTTGGTTGAGTATTTTCATATTTATGCGCATGAAACAAACAGAGGCGTTGAAGAATCGGATATGTAAGCGGCAGTAATGCTAAAGAAAATTTCGAATCTCCAGTCATTTGTCGCACATGAACATGTGGGCACATTTCTTGTCGAAGAAAGTGAATCAGTTAACGACGATGAATGAATGAATGAAAGTCAAGTAAAGCTGTTTTATGTGAAGCTATCCACTGAATCATGTCATATTTGATTTGATTCTCCCAGAGAGTATGATATATGATATCATGATGACAGGTGGATGTCAGTTTTCATTTCGCCTAGTTATACTCCTAATTCATTATTAGTCTTTTAGTTCGGAATGAAAAACGGCTTCAACAAGACATTAACAATCTATTCTATTATCTGCTGTTCCCTTTAGCCGGCTTCACGGTTGCCCTTAATCCGTCATCTCCTCCTTGCACGATCTCATCGATGTCACTCTTCTACAAACAAGTCGTTGTCTACTATTCGCGTTCCACCTTACCGATGGCTTGCATCCAGCGAGATGTTATTCGACGATCTCCCGAGTTTACGCTCAATGTATATCCATTTCTTTCTACAGATTTGTTGAACGACGAATTCTTGTTCGGTTTGTGTCCACAGTTTCTTGTTGGCAGTTCTTTCTGAGCAGCGAGAAAATTGATCTGCACTAAAGAGCCGTTGAAGGCAGTTGTTGATGGCACTCCTCTGTAACCTGTTGGAAGTACATCACATAACGCGTGACCACGTTCCTAACCAATATATAGAGGGACTGACTGCAAACAGATTTTAGAGTATTGGAAAGTGTACCTTGCCTTTCCGATCCTGACTGCCTCTGATATCTTTATCCGTTCCCTCTGTTTGCAACAATTCTTCCTAGATATGTGAATGAAGTGTTTTCTCTCAGCATTCTCCGGTCGACGGTGAAGAATGCTGCATGTCTCTGCTTTTTGGTTCATTATGTTCCTCACCACTGTCTTCTCTATGTTCAGCTGTAGGTTGGCCACCGCTGTCAGCTTTTACAGCAAGTTTGTTGGTTTCCGCCTGCAAATCGTTCAGTCTGTATGACATTAATTAACAAACCGTAAACAGCTAGAAATCAAATCTTACTGAGTCTTCCATTCGCTACAAAATATTCCTCTCTTCTTACTCCCCATGCATAATCTGACGCAAAATCCAGTCCAGTGAGATTTGCATAAATATCATTGGTGATAATAGGCAGTCAGTCCTGTGCTACACTCCTGTTTTCACTTCAAACGCCTTGTTGAATTTTGTGTTGTTGACCACCTGGCTCCTGTCACTGATATGAAGTTGTCGAGTGAGGTGATGAAGATCAAGAGCGCTTCCCGCCAAAATGTTCAGTCAGTTTCTTAATTTCTCTTGAGAATTTGTGAGCAGTGCGGTAGAAAACGACGGATGTGAGGACAAATTCCAGCCGGCGACATTTCCTGGTTGTCACCTGATATTCCGAATAGACAAGAAATCTAATTCACGGGTCACTGATTCGTGGATCAAGTAGCTAGATGGTCAAATAACCTTCCGTCGTATCCTGAAACTCCTTGGTGTGACCACCGCTAGTATTATGGATGAGTACAATTTGAAGAAACACTACGGTGAGTGCAAAAGCTCCCCTAATTATGATATTCCAAGAAAGCACCTTAAATAAACCAAGTCTCTACAATCTAAATCTGAAAAATGAATCGATATTATCTGAAATATGGTCGATGTAAAAGCTTGAGTAATTATTTCAAGGATCACATAAGGCTAGAATTGACTGGCTTGCATACTCAAAGAGAAACCTAGATGGTTCACTTAGGTGTGAAAGACTGCGTGTCTCAACGTGAGCATGATTTTGTATACTGTTATGAATGCATACACGAGTGAAGCAGTGGACACTTACCAGTCGATGTAGACTTGAGTTGCTCTTGCTTTCGAACTGAAACATGAACAAATGGGAAAAATAGAAGATTTATTTCTTCGGGGTTGATAGCTTTGAAAAACACTAGAAAACCTCGATTTATTTTCAAATGTATAATTTTCCACCTCATTGAGAGCGTGATGATTTCATGCACATGCAGCATTAATGCATTGAAAAAGCTAGTAGGTGTACTCCAACACAGATGTTTGAGGATGCTGCAGAATATCTGAATTCTATTGATTTTTTAAGATTGTATGAATGCAGAACGCTCACCAATTGCCTATGTCACAACACAAACCCGTCTCGTATTTCCAGCCTTCGTCAGTGCTTAGCGACTGAAGAATTTCCTTTCTCTCCCAATTGATCTCAAATTAATGTCCTGTTAATACATAGCATTCTCTTTCATCGTAATGTCGAATAAGATATATGGCTATTAGTTTCTGTAACCAGAATAACGAACAGCTTTTCGTTGAACGCCTTATGTCACAGCATTCACAATATATCTCTCTTTCAATTCAATAATTAATATGACCCGTTGCACAAGAGGTGGCTCTCGTGACCCAAGTGGTCTAGTGAATAACGCTTTGGCGTTTGAAACTATGGGCACTGGGTTCGAGCCTCAGTGGGAATATCATCACCCACTGAGAAATGCAGGTACATCCAGATGACGAGTTCCAAATAGGACGAAATGCGTATCCTGGATTCCACTGCTAGCCACCATCCACCAATCGTATATCTGTCTTTCATTCAAGATCAGGAACTGACATGAGTAACAGAACCAATGACGAGTAAAGCGTACCGAAGTGCTTTGCTGTGACTACTCAATTGTAAGCGCCCTCACCTCCCCTGAAATGGAACCAAGCATCTTTAGGTTAGCAGCTGATCCTTGTTTCTATTCAATTGGAAAGATGAAACTTAACTCAATGCATGTGTGGTTCAAACGGTTCCTTGTTTCTATAACTGATACCGGTTGATGATGTCATTTATATTCGATCAAACTACTGAATGCATTGTGGTCAAAGCGACAGTGTATTTATACTTTGAACTCTCCGCAATTTTGAATCGGTTTGCAGTCGACTGATTTCTCAATACTGAAGGAATTTTTGTGTTTCACTGGAAAAACACTCATCATTACGTTTTCAGTGGGAGTACAATGAGTAATTTTATTATAAAATAACGAAAAGTCGTGTGCTTCGGTGGCACAGTGGTTAGGACTATCGCCGACCATGCACATTGTAAGACGTTCTATCCTCTGCCGACGGACATGTGATATCTATGGTCGGCCTGCAAAATTGGGATGCCGATATCCATGCTGAAAATTCCATCCTTGTACAAAATATACAGTGTGGAAACAAGCTGTAATCAAAAATAAAAATGAGTAACATAAAACAAATCTTGATTAGATGATTTTATTCCTAGTGAAATTGGAGTAATAAAGTTCTCTTTTTTTCCATGTATATATTAAATATTCCCATAGTAAAATTTAGAACAATACATTGAAGCGAACAATTTTGATTGTTTTCAATTAGATCTCATCAGGCCTAATTCTCATATGTATAAGTTTACAAAAAAAATTCAAATATAAACCAATCATGGTGTTTTGTCTATAGGATAATACGATGATGAATATAAATTGTGCAATTAGTCATAATAGTAGTATTAATAACAACAATAGTGATAATAATAATGGTCTTATCAATAATAGGGATGAAAAAATGAAGCAATCTGTGATAACACGAATAATGATGAAAAACAGTATGATTAAACAAGCAGTTGTTCAGGTGGAAGTAGTCGATAAAGGCTAGTAAAAACAAATGAACCGATTACGTAATGTTGAATTGTAGGGGAAGGAAATGAAACACGTTTATAATGAAGATAAGATTAAGGGATGATAAGAAAGGGTTGGAAATATAAATAAGGGGTGGTGTAGTAGTCATCAGTTGTTTACGTGTTAATAGGCCAACAAGGAAGGGATAACGGCTGTGTATGAACTTCTTTTGAATGCACAGCTTAGGTTTAATAGTTCGAACGCCTATCGCCTGCCTCAGATGTGTGCACAGTAAACGAATACGAAGTCTGTTGGAGAGATTCAGTGAGATGTGATGAATTACTTTGAAGGCTCTATCAATTAAATGTGACAAAACTGAGCTACGGATTATTTTTGTCTGTTCTTTGCCAAACCACCACGATGGGAGATGTTCACTAACACGTTGACTGAGCTGTCTAGCAGTACGCCTAATGTAATGTCCGCAAAATAACTGTCACTGTAGGTGCAGTTGAATTGATAAATACACGTAGATTTGGCAAACCTATCAAGCTTATCCTTCGTTTGCGTCCCAATCATTCGTCGGCTAGAGAATGACAAACATAGGTGTGCTGCGTAAAATGTTCTACGTATACTCCTTGGAAGTCTTTGGAATAGAATCTCACTTGATAAGTCAAAATTAAACTGTAAATTATATATATATAGCCAGAAATTGTCCGGCTTCTGATTTGATGCCTCAGGAGAATGAGATTATAAAGAATTTCAAAAGCTTAAGGAACGAAGGATGCCACACGGTAAATTTACTGACAAGATGATTGTCAAAATGCTTTCCAAAAGTAATAAAATTAATCACTTCTTGTAATTTTTATCATTTTAAAAAAATGGTTGTAAAGGGAAATACTCACGTTTTTGTTGCTGATGCAAAAATATGGCGTACTCTAGTGATGAAGAAACAAATCATTATGTGAAAAATATCCTCATTTAGACATTTAGGAAGACAGAAAGATTGAGCGAGCGAAGAAATATTTACTTTTCAATTAGATCCTCATCTCACTCTCTCGCTCTATTCTAATAAAACGTCCACCTCGTGCTCACTATCTACAAGGTGGGCTAAAATATAGCTACGAATAAATCTTGTTTGTCTCTTGCTTAACCATGCTGCCGGATGATGTTCGGAAATACGATGATGAACGTGCAGTTTGACGTTAACACTGCATTTAAAATTTTTTATCGCATTCCCACTAATCTTCATTTTGCTTTAAGAGTTCGTCTTCTACATACGACAGCTGAAGCAATAGGAATCCACCTGAAGAAGTCAGCCAAACTTGTGTGTGTATTCAGAAGAAATTTGTACAGCCACTTTCTTTGCCTTGGCTATCGTTACGTGATTGTATAAACCGGACTACTTCATCCCCCTCCCCCTAGAATAATTTTTCTTTTTAAAAACTATAATTGTTCAAATTATTTAATTATTTTTCTTATCACTTCATCTATAATTGCGTGTTATCCTTGTAAAAATTATTTTATTCTCATGACCACTTCATCCTTAGTTACAAATTATCATTGTCCAAATCGTTTTATTTTCCTTAACAATCTGTCACTGAGGTATCAACCTGTGCACACGCTTATTCTTTAATTGCTCTTCATTTTTCCAAAATTATGCATCACGCAATCCACATAATGTAACCATTTTCACCTTTTAATTATGCATATATATTATTTTCTTCTTTAATTATCACCCATCGGATTGACATTTTAACACTGACTAATTATTGTTAAAAAATCTATGAGTGCCACTTGATGATTGGTAAACTGTTGTGTATTGCAATAAAAAAATATAGAATAGAGTAAGCAGTGAGATGAGGATTTAATTGAAAAGTAAATATTTCTTCGCTCGCTCAATCTTTTTCTTTTGCAAATCATAATGCACGCTTGTCGAAGGTTTTTATATGAGATCCAAAGTAAATTTCTTTCAATCGTTGACTTTTTTAGAATGCATCAACTAGAGACTCAGAGAATGCCATGAATTATACTCCCAAATGGAATCTTACCATCCATTTCGGACTGAGAGAGGATAGCTTTCTTATCCTGCTTGTCTACACTTATATATATTTCCTGCAAATCTATTTATTCAGGTAGGGTTACGGTCATTGAGGATAACAAATTCAGGGTTCAGACTTTTGTTTAGGATTAGGGATAGACTTAGGATCAACAATAAGGATTTTGCCTGAAATTGTGAGAAGGTTGCAGGAAAGTCTTTCAGAATGGGTCTAGAATGGGTCCCGCAACCATCATGTGACGATTTTAAGTCATATGGATAAATGGGTATGTCGACAAATGCTGTGATTCTCATTTCCATCATGTGTTTATTCGCTGAGCAAAATTCTCAAAATACATAGCTACAAGTATACAGTGTATTATATTGTTTGCAATGGTTTTATAGCATTTCCCAAAAATTATGTGACTAAAGGCATCTCAATTGTCATCGATTGTTCAAGTTGACTGTTGTTATAGGTGTGTTACTTAGACGGTGATTATTCCTTTCCTGATTTCTTCAGTGTTTAAAAATACCACAACTATAACACTACTACTACACGTTTGAATTCCTCTCCTTTATGACGATTAAATTTCACTCAATGTTGGCTGTCCCGACTTATCAATGATATTAGTGTCGCTCTACAGTCATATAGAACATATATCCATGTGGCATTGTGCTCTTGGCTTTCTGCCGTTGATGTACAACTTACAAAGGCCTCTTATCATTGGTCTATCTTTCTTCATGCTTTAAATATCGACGGTTGAGTGTCGAGTTAGGCAACGTGACGGATTGTGACTGAAACAGTAAGCTCTCGAATTCGCTAGATAATAATATGCAATAGACGCATGAACTAGGCGGTTGTATCGATGACCATGTTGTGAAAGCAGGAAAACTATGCCATGCCATTTAAGACTAAAAAATAAGCGAATTAATCCATGGAAAGATGGCAGAGGAGACTGACACGAAAACAAGTGATACGAGAAAATAAGAAGAATGACACAACGATTTCACGGACTCACCTCGTCGAAGCTCTTCTTCCTCAGCTACAACACAAAACAACGCCAGATTAGGCGAAGACTCCAAACAGTTGCTTATCAGGCATGCTAGTATAGCCACTCACATCGATTATCTCTTGTATTTCCTGTGCGCTTCTAGTGGAACATACAGCTTCGAATATGAACTACAAAGTTTCACTGGAGATGATGTATCTTCCATAGGATGAGATTCTTAGCTTCAAACTAGACCATCGCTGTTTTCCCTAGGCTTCGTATGACAGATGATATATGATCTGGGGATGCATTTATTCGATGAGGACCGAAACCGGGCCACAGTCGTCGTCGGACATCCTTCCACAAGTGAACCATGGAGATACACCATAATTTTACGGAGAGTTAAAAAAGGTGTTTCACTCTTAGACACTGGTTACTGATGAAATAGTGCTTAGTTTTAAATGCAACTGAACCAATTAGAACTGAAGTGAGTATAAATCTGGTCGAGGAAAAAGACGTGCGCCTGATAAGGTAATGAGTAGTTCATATCGCATGGTATTATTTTGAAGTTGCATTGTACAGCTAAATATCCGTTTGGTTGAGTATTTTCATATTTATGCGCATGAAACAAACAGAGGCGTTGAAGAATCGGATATGTAAGCGGCAGTAATGCTAAAGAAAATTTCGAATCTCCAGTCATTTGTCGCACATGAACATGTGGGCACATTTCTTGTCGAAGAAAGTGAATCAGTTAACGACGATGAATGAATGAATGAAAGTCAAGTAAAGCTGTTTGATGTGAAGCTATCCACTGAATCATGTCATATTTGATTTGATTCTCCCAGAGAGTATGATATATGATATCATGATGACAGGTGGATGTCAGTTTTCATTTCGCCTAGTTATACTCCTAATTCATTATTAGTCTTTTAGTTCGGAATGAAAAACGGCTTCAACAAGACATTAACAATCTATTCTATTATCTGCTGTTCCCTTTAGCCGGCTTCACGGTTGCCCTTAATCCGTCATCTCCTCCTTGCACGATCTCATCGATGTCACTCTTCTACAAACAAGTCGTTGTCTACTATTCGCGTTCCACCTTACCGATGGCTTGCATCCAGCGAGATGTTATTCGACGATCTCCCGAGTTTACGCTCAATGTATATCCATTTCTTTCTACAGATTTGTTGAACGACGAATTCTTGTTCGGTTTGTGTCCACAGTTTCTTGTTGGCAGTTCTTTCTGAGCAGCGAGAAAATTGATCTGCACTAAAGAGCCGTTGAAGGCAGTTGTTGATGGCACTCCTCTGTAACCTGTTGGAAGTACATCACATAACGCGTGACCACGTTCCTAACCAATATATAGAGGGACTGACTGCAAACAGATTTTAGAGTATTGGAAAGTGTACCTTGCCTTTCCGATCCTGACTGCCTCTGATATCTTTATCCGTTCCCTCTGTTTGCAACAATTCTTCCTAGATATGTGAATGAAGTGTTTTCTCTCAGCATTCTCCGGTCGACGGTGAAGAATGCTGCATGTCTCTGCTTTTTGGTTCATTATGTTCCTCACCACTGTCTTCTCTATGTTCAGCTGTAGGTTGGCCACCGCTGTCAGCTTTTACAGCAAGTTTGTTGGTTTCCGCCTGCAAATCGTTCAGTCTGTATGACATTAATTAACAAACCGTAAACAGCTAGAAATCAAATCTTACTGAGTCTTCCATTCGCTACAAAATATTCCTCTCTTCTTACTCCCCATGCATAATCTGACGCAAAATCCAGTCCAGTGAGATTTGCATAAATATCATTGGTGATAATAGGCAGTCAGTCCTGTGCTACACTCCTGTTTTCACTTCAAACGCCTTGTTGAATTTTGTGTTGTTGACCACCTGGCTCCTGTCACTGATATGAAGCTGTCGAGTGAGGTGATGAAGATCAAGAGCGCTTCCCGCCACAATGTTCAGTCAGTTTCTTAATTTCTCTTGAGAATTTGTGAGCAGTGCGGTAGAAAACGACGGATGTGAGGACAAATTCCAGCCGGCGACATTTCCTGGTTGTCACCTGATATTCCGAATAGACAAGAAATCTAATTCACGGGTCACTGATTCGTGGATCAAGTAGCTAGATGGTCAAATAACCTTCCGTCGTATCCTGAAACTCCTTGGTGTGACCACCGCTAGTATTATGGATGAGTACAATTTGAAGAAACACTACGGTGAGTGCAAAAGCTCCCCTAATTATGATATTCCAAGAAAGCACCTTAAATAAACCAAGTCTCTACAATCTAAATCTGAAAAATGAATCGATATTATCTGAAATATGGTCGATGTAAAAGCTTGAGTAATTATTTCAAGGATCACATAAGGCTAGAATTGACTGGCTTGCATACTCAAAGAGAAACCTAGATGGTTCACTTAGGTGTGAAAGACTGCGTGTCTCAACGTGAGCATGATTTTGTATACTGTTATGAATGCATACACGAGTGAAGCAGTGGACACTTACCAGTCGATGTAGACTTGAGTTGCTCTTGCTTTCGAACTGAAACATGAACAAATGGGAAAAATAGAAGATTTATTTCTTCGGGGTTGATAGCTTTGAAAAACACTAGAAAACCTCGATTTATTTTCAAATGTATAATTTTCCACCTCATTGAGAGCGTGATGATTTCATGCACATGCAGCATTAATGCATTGAAAAAGCTAGTAGGTGTACTCCAACACAGATGTTTGAGGATGCTGCAGAATATCTGAATTCTATTGATTTTTTAAGATTGTATGAATGCAGAACGCTCACCAATTGCCTATGTCACAACACAAACCCGTCTCGTATTTCCAGCCTTCGTCAGTGCTTAGCGACTGAAGAATTTCCTTTCTCTCCCAATTGATCTCAAATTAATGTCCTGTTAATACATAGCATTCTCTTTCATCGTAATGTCGAATAAGATATATGGCTATTAGTTTCTGTAACCAGAATAACGAACAGCTTTTCGTTGAACGCCTTATGTCACAGCATTCACAATATATCTCTCTTTCAATTCAATAATTAATATGACCCGTTGCACAAGAGGTGGCTCTCGTGACCCAAGTGGTCTAGTGAATAACGCTTTGGCGTTTGAAACTATGGGCACTGGGTTCGAGCCTCAGTGGGAATATCATCACCCACTGAGAAATGCAGGTACATCCAGATGACGAGTTCCAAATAGGACGAAATGCGTATCCTGGATTCCACTGCTAGCCACCATCCACCAATCGTATATCTGTCTTTCATTCAAGATCAGGAACTGACATGAGTAACAGAACCAATGACGAGTAAAGCGTACCGAAGTGCTTTGCTGTGACTACTCAATTGTAAGCGCCCTCACCTCCCCTGAAATGGAACCAAGCATCTTTAGGTTAGCAGCTGATCCTTGTTTCTATTCAATTGGAAAGATGAAACTTAACTCAATGCATGTGTGGTTCAAACGGTTCCTTGTTTCTATAACTGATACCGGTTGATGATGTCATTTATATTCGATCAAACTACTGAATGCATTGTGGTCAAAGCGACAGTGTATTTATACTTTGAACTCTCCGCAATTTTGAATCGGTTTGCAGTCGACTGATTTCTCAATACTGAAGGAATTTTTGTGTTTCACTGGAAAAACACTCATCATTACGTTTTCAGTGGGAGTACAATGAGTAATTTTATTATAAAATAACGAAAAGTCGTGTGCTTCGGTGGCACAGTGGTTAGGACTATCGCCGACCATGCACATTGTAAGACGTTCTATCCTCTGCCGACGGACATGTGATATCTATGGTCGGCCTGCAAAATTGGGATGCCGATATCCATGCTGAAAATTCCATCCTTGTACAAAATATACAGTGTGGAAACAAGCTGTAATCAAAAATAAAAATGAGTAACATAAAACAAATCTTGATTAGATGATTTTATTCCTAGTGAAATTGGAGTAATAAAGTTCTCTTTTTTTCCATGTATATATTAAATATTCCCATAGTAAAATTTAGAACAATACATTGAAGCGAACAATTTTGATTGTTTTCAATTAGATCTCATCAGGCCTAATTCTCATATGTATAAGTTTACAAAAAAAATTCAAATATAAACCAATCATGGTGTTTTGTCTATAGGATAATACGATGATGAATATAAATTGTGCAATTAGTCATAATAGTAGTATTAATAACAACAATAGTGATAATAATAATGGTCTTATCAATAATAGGGATGAAAAAATGAAGCAATCTGTGATAACACGAATAATGATGAAAAACAGTATGATTAAACAAGCAGTTGTTCAGGTGGAAGTAGTCGATAAAGGCTAGTAAAAACAAATGAACCGATTACGTAATGTTGAATTGTAGGGGAAGGAAATGAAACACGTTTATAATGAAGATAAGATTAAGGGATGATAAGAAAGGGTTGGAAATATAAATAAGGGGTGGTGTAGTAGTCATCAGTTGTTTACGTGTTAATAGGCCAACAAGGAAGGGATAACGGCTGTGTATGAACTTCTTTTGAATGCACAGCTTAGGTTTAATAGTTCGAACGCCTATCGCCTGCCTCAGATGTGTGCACAGTAAACGAATACGAAGTCTGTTGGAGAGATTCAGTGAGATGTGATGAATTACTTTGAAGGCTCTATCAATTAAATGTGACAAAACTGAGCTACGGATTATTTTTGTCTGTTCTTTGCCAAACCACCACGATGGGAGATGTTCACTAACACGTTGACTGAGCTGTCTAGCAGTACGCCTAATGTAATGTCCGCAAAATAACTGTCACTGTAGGTGCAGTTGAATTGATAAATACACGTAGATTTGGCAAACCTATCAAGCTTATCCTTCGTTTGCGTCCCAATCATTCGTCGGCTAGAGAATGACAAACATAGGTGTGCTGCGTAAAATGTTCTACGTATACTCCTTGGAAGTCTTTGGAATAGAATCTCACTTGATAAGTCAAAATTAAACTGTAAATTATATATATATAGCCAGAAATTGTCCGGCTTCTGATTTGATGCCTCAGGAGAATGAGATTATAAAGAATTTCAAAAGCTTAAGGAACGAAGGATGCCACACGGTAAATTTACTGACAAGATGATTGTCAAAATGCTTTCCAAAAGTAATAAAATTAATCACTTCTTGTAATTTTTATCATTTTAAAAAAATGGTTGTAAAGGGAAATACTCACGTTTTTGTTGCTGATGCAAAAATATGGCGTACTCTAGTGATGAAGAAACAAATCATTATGTGAAAAATATCCTCATTTAGACATTTAGGAAGACAGAAAGATGAGTGAGCGAAGAAATATTTACTTTTCAATTAGATCCTCATCTCACTCTCTCGCTCTATTCTAATAAAACGTCCACCTCGTGCTCACTATCTACAAGGTGGGCTAAAATATAGCTACGAATAAATCTTGTTTGTCTCTTGCTTAACCATGCTGCCGGATGATGTTCGGAAATACGATGATGAACGTGCAGTTTGACGTTAACACTGCATTTAAAATTTTTTATCGCATTCCCACTAATCTTCATTTTGCTTTAAGAGTTCGTCTTCTACATACGACAGCTGAAGCAATAGGAATCCACCTGAAGAAGTCAGCCAAACTTGTGTGTGTATTCAGAAGAAATTTGTACAGCCACTTTATTTGCCTTGGCTATCGTTACGTGATTGTATAAACCGGACTACTTCATCCCCCTCCCCCTAGAATAATTTTTCTTTTTAAAAACTATAATTGTTCAAATTATTTAATTATTTTTCTTATCACTTCATCTATAATTGCGTGTTATCCTTGTAAAAATTATTTTATTCTCATGACCACTTCATCCTTAGTTACAAATTATCATTGTCCAAATCGTTTTGTTTTCTTTAACAATCTGTCACTGAGGTATCAACCTGTGCACACGCTTATTCTTTAATTGCTCTTCATTTTTCCAAAATTATGCATTATGCAATCCACTTGTTGTAACCATTTCCACCTTTTTAATTATATATGTTAATTTTCTTCATTAATTATCACCCCACTGCTTGACATGTTGACACTGACTAATTATTGTTAACATACATATCAGTGCCACTCACTAGCTGATTGGTAAACTGTTGTGTATTGTAATAAAAAGTGCACGCTTGTCGAAGGTTTTTATATGAGATCCAAAGTAAATTTTTTTCAATCGTTGACTTTCTAGAATGCATCAATTAGAGACTCAGAGAATGCCATGAATTATACTCCCAAATGGAATCTTACCATCCATTTCGGACTGAGAGAGGATAGCTTTCTCATGCTGCTTGTCTACACTATATATATATTTCCTGCAAATCTATTTATTCAGGTAGGGTTACGGTCATTGAGGATAACAAATTCAGGGTTCAGAATTTTGTTTAGGATTAGGGATAGACTTAGGATCAACAATAAGGATTTTGCCTGAAATTGTGAGAAGGTTGCAGCAAAGTCTTTCAGAATGGGTCTAGAATGGGTCCCGCAACCATCATGTGACGATTTTAAGTCATATGGATAAATGGGTATGTCGACAAATGCTGTGATTCTCATTTCCATCATGTGTTTATTCGCTGAGCAAAATTCTCAAAATACATAGCTACAAGTATACAGTGTATTATATTGTTTGCAATAGTTTTATAGCATTTCCGAGAATTATGTGACTAAAGGCATCTCAATTGTCATCGGTTGTTCAAGTTGACTGTTGTAATAGGTGTGTTAATTTGACGGTGATTATTCCTCTCCTGATTTCTTCAGTGTTTAAAAATACCACAACTATAACACTACTACTTACACGTTTGAATTCCTCTCCTTTATGACGATTAAATTTCACTCAATGTTGGCTGTCCCGACTTATCAATGACATTAGTGTCGCTCTACAGTCATATAGAACATATATCCATGTGGAATTGTGCTCTTGGCTTTTTGCCGTTGATGTACAACTTACAAAGGCCTCTTATCATTGGTCTATCTTTCTTCATGCTTTAAATATCGACGGTTGAGTGTCGAGTTAGGCAACGTGACGGATAGTGACTGAAACAGTAAGCTCTCGAATTCGCTAGATAATAATATGCAATAGACGCATGAACTAGGCGGTTGTATCGATGACCATGTTGTGAAAGCAGGAAAACTATGCCATGCCATTTAAGACTAAAAAAATAAGCGAATTAATCCATGGAAAGATGGCAGAGGAGACTGACACGAAAACAAATGATACGAGAAAATAAGAAGAATGACACAACGATTTCACGGACTCACCTCGTCGAAGCTCTTCTTCCTCAGCTACAACACAGAACAACACCAGATTAGGCAAGGACTCCAAACAGTTGGTTATCAGGCATGCTAGCATAGCCGCTCACATCGATTATCTCTTGTATTTCCTGTGCATTCCTAGTGGAACATACAGCTTCGAATATGAACTACAAAGTTTCACTGGAGATGATGTATCTTCCACCGGATGAGATTCTAAGCTTCAAACTAGACCATCGCTGTTTTCCATAGGCTTGGTATGACAGATGATATATGATCTGGGGATGCATTCAATCTCTGAAGGCGGAACTTGGACAACACGCGCTGTCGGATGATTCTGCCACCAGTGAACCATGGAGATACACTATATTTTTACGGAGGGTAAAATGGTGTTATATGCTTAGACAATGGTGGAATAAAGAAAGTGTCGTACACCACCAACTTGTATCCAAGTTAACACCTTAAATAAACCAATTCTCTACAAACTAAATCTGAAAAATGAATCGATATTATCTGAAATATGGTCGATGTGAAAGCTTGAGTAATTATTTCAAGGATCACATAAGGCTAGAATTGACTGGCTTGCATACTCAAAGAGAAACCTAGATGGTTCACTTAGGTGTGAAAGACTGCGTGTTTCAACGTGAGCATGATTTTGTATTCTGTTATGAATGCATACACGAGTGAAGCAGTGGACACTTACCTGTCAATTTAGGCTTGAGTTGCTCTTGTTTTGGAACTGAAACATGAACAAATAGGAAAATGTGCAGACTGTGCAAAATAGAAGATTTATTTCTTCGGGTTGGTAGCTTTGAAAAACACCAGAAAACCTCGATTTATTTTCAAATGTATAATTTTCCACCTCATTGAGAGCGTGATGATTTCATGCACATGCAGCATTAATGCATTGTAAATACTCAAACACAGATATCTGAGGACGCCTCAGATTAGTTGGTTTCCCTGTCTTCTTTCATGTAGGTGGAAAGGAGAATTCTCACTAATTGGCTATGTACAACACAAACGTTTTTCGTGTTTCCAGCCTTTGTCAGTAATCTCATGTTTTCATAGCTAGTTAGGCTTTTAGGTGTTTAGAAATTTATTTCGGAAATATCTATGTATTTTTATCAGGAATATTAATTTTTGAAAATATCTGATCACTTAGATAATTTAGGGAATATTAAGTAAACACATTTTTAATTAATTGTCAGATTTGACATCACACGTGCTTACCCACTGATGAATTCCTCAGGAAGAATTCATACTCTGTGAAAATAATTGTTGTGTTAAGTAATGCAGAACAAGCAGTATTTAATACAATGAGATGAATCTCGCAAAATATTCGTCAGAATATATTAGGCAAATTTCGAATTCCTATCAAGGTGAATTATACCTCGATTCATCCATTCACCCATTCATTCATTCAGTATCATTCGCTGCATTACACATGGTATTTCGCCTTGATGATGAAGGCAAGTCAATGAATGAAGTATTCTCTAATTAAATCAAGTCTCAAGGACACTATTAAGCTCAGTGATTGGAGCGGCTGATGTTCCATCGGAGATTACCGACTGGTTATCAGTAATGAAAATATATTTAGACAGCTTGTTGAGTAGAGAATCGAACGCGTGTACGGATGACAAGTGATGTCATGATTTGCATCACATATACACATTTATTTGAACATCCCCTCTTCAACAGGCTACATATTCATATTCAAAGATGCAAAATGACGCCAATCATGCACTGAAACTTTTCTGCTCACCCCTCATCATTTTATCCAAGATTTCTACATCGGTTGATAAAAGGAAGCAAATTAGGCAGTAATTTATTGAAATGTCTAGTATTTAATTGTTTCACAGTATAATATGGAAGTTGAAAGTGTGAAAACGCGATGTGATCAATCACAGAATCACCGGAAAGCTAAGAGGGAGTACAGACGGCGATCCGTTTCATCAGCCACGTTTTGTACTTTTCAGCAGTACGCACGCACCCACAATAGTGATGTGAAGCCAGGACATTCTAGTTATAACACCAGCTGGTAGACCAATAAACCACTGTTGCCTAAGCAAATGTTCAATGAATTCCAAGTTCTCCCGATTCACGATACGTGTCAAGCGCAACCACCAGTTTGTCCAGGTATGTACACCAAGTCAGCAAGGAGGAGAGTTACTTTCCTGTGAAACTGGCTGGCGCTTGCACCCTATAAGCATCATGAATATGCAGAAGCTGGGAGACATGGAACATTCAGTCGAGTCACAATATCTAAATCTTCTATCAGACTGCCTCGTAACCAGATTATCCTGGTTTCGAACACTCGTGTGTGTGAACTGACGATGAGCGGAAAACTCGTCTGACGAAACAGCCGTTCGGAGCGCCACACTTGTTTTCCAATGCCTCTTGGCTCGTGATCAATCCTGTTTCCAACTATGTCTGTGTTTGCAAATGAATACATGATGCATAAAATGGAAGTTATCTGGGAATAAATTGAGAATGTTCGTTGAATCCCCCGCTCTGGTGAATGATATTGCGGTATTTGTCCTCACGGTGAGCTAGGCGGTTCAGCTGTGAAGGTAACGCTGAATATCCTGTGTAGAGAGACAGCCAACATATTCCTGATAACCTCTACAACGCAGAAGCGACGTCAACAATAAACTCACTTCAACCGTTGGATTCATTCACTACCCTGATGTAGACGATCTAGATGAATCTTCACATTGCAAACGACTTTTCCGTAGACCCCCCTGTTTGTTCCATCAGGACAGTGGGCCAGCCAAATCCGTGTTGCGCACTGACGAATACATGTTCTCTGTCAAAGTTAGTTCAGCTGACACACTTGTAGTCCGAGTAAGTAATCCGAAGTGTGGGTGGTGAACTACCAGTGAATTAACTGACAAGTGTATCACGTTATGTTAAGAAACGGTGAAGGTTGAGAGATGAGTGATGAACACTGACTCAGCACAAGAAGGATAACAACAAGGAGGAGGAGAAGATGAGGAAGAAAATTCTCATGCACAAACCTGCTTTGGCGACTTTTTCTCTTGCATTCGGATCATCTGAAAAGAATAAACAAAAATATCAGTGAGGAGTTGTCAGTGTATTGTTAGAAGCCATTGAAATCAGTGACATGGAAGTTACATACAATGAACTGAAAGGATGACATTTCGAAAAGTCAATATCGACGAGTACATGTGAACTTTGATAAGGTGAGTGAATGCAGGAATGCACGTCAAGTCAGACAGCTGTGAAGTGACGAATAACTTATGGCCAACAGCATCTGTTGTACTCTTGGACACGACTCTCCACAGATTCAGTCGAAACAGTAGTATGAATTGAGAAAACCTCCTAAAACTTAGATATTCCATTAGCTGTCAACTGTTTCACCTCAGTAGTCTTCATTCGCTAATACGTCACTCGGAGTGTCAAGCATTTCAAGTAACTCGTTGACACGTCCTCTCATCACCGAATGACGATATCATACGAAAATCGCATAGACTGTGATTCCGTGGACAGGAATTGAATCTCTGTCTCTATGTCGACTGTTTCTCGTTTGTCTTAACCTTATTCTTGTGGAAGCATGTCAGTGAGTTATTCGTCTCAAAGAACATTTTACCTTGTTAAGCTTTTCTTCATTCGAGTCCCAATCAGAGTTAACTATCTGCCAATATCTGGCTGATGATTAAATGGCTGGAGGCAGTCGACTGAGGGAGGCCCGACTCACCTGGCTAGCTATTCACACTCCTGGTTGACCACTTGTAGAATTGTACTGTCAACGAGTGACAGAAAACAAGCAGAAAGTCTCGGGCCGCGAAGGGCTTCCTGACAATTGAATCTAATCAACGTTTTACAGGAATTTTGAGTACATTGTAATGGAGATCCACCTAGATTGTTGGTGTCCACCTTGCGAATTTCGTTGATAGAATTCAGTCAACAGAAAACCGCAAAGATAAGAAACATGACACTATTCGGTGTGAATTCAGAGTATTACATGACTTGTGATTCAACTCCATTCCACCGAATTTATTTTTATTTTTGGCCTTACGTGTTAGTGTTTTGATAAATTCCGCATCCTTTTACAGTGACATGATAGGTAGTTCTCATCATAATCTATGAAAAACTCCGCTTGTTAAGATTATGTAACGGAAACACTTAATGCACTCAAGCGAGTAGGCAATGGAGTCAATTTTTTCTCGCTTACTTGTTGGAGCATAAGTTTTATTCATTCGGATATCTGTGGAAGTGAATTAGAGAAATTACAGAATAATTTAGGTAGAAGCGTTGATTAGTTCAATGATACGAAAGAGATATCTGGAAATGTGGATGTCTCTGCATATTTCCTCACCTTATGTGGACGAAGTGTATGTCACCATGTGATGACAGAATCATCGCAGATAATTACTCAAATGTTGTTTACAAACTACACTAACTTTACAGACTGAATCAGTGGTTACGGCGAACTGAGAGGGGTCGTAAATAGAGAGAGAACAGCCACCGGTCTATTGATCTTTTCATCCAGTGATTTGTCTTCCCGGAGAATTCTTCTCTCAAATAAATACAACTACTCTAAATAGCTCAACATTCAAAGTCAAGTTTGACAGCGTAGTACCTGCATAAGATAACTCGATGCAAATTTGTAAACAAAACGTTGATTTGCTCACATTCAGAAACGATGTTCCTCAGTTCACTCCACTCAACTGTAAATGAAAGAGAGGCATTTCAAGTTAGGTTGTATGTATAAAATATGCACGACGGGCATCCAATGTACTTAGCTTCACAGTGACATGTGATCTGATATTTACACAAATAATTGGACATATGTTGCGATTATGTCCTCAAGGCGTCCGCAGGCCAATGGCCCACTGGAGGACACTAATCTCCGCCCTGCTTCCTCGACGTGTATCCTGTGAAAATCGGTCACGGACCAGTATCCAGCATGGCTGAAAATATGTTGTATTGTGTCAGAAGCCAGTGTAATTATCGAACATCTCGGTGACGCCGCCAATTCATGTAAACAGACGCCTCCTGCTCTAAAGTAATCTAGGAAGTCAAGAATAAACTATCGAATGCAACATATTCTCGTCTTCGTCTCATTTGTATTGCTGGAGCCTCAGCCATTCACATGGAAAATAAAGAGTAATGCATACAAGAGCAAATCTCCCAACCACTCCCACCATAGTGAAGACAAAGGCGTCTATTTCTACTGAAGTGTGATTTGTGTGCTTGTTTTTGTGATTCCATGTGACTCCTGCATTTCCCCATGACTCTCGCACTCTTCATATTTCTCCTCCGATTGCATGTGCATGTTGATCTCAAGTCACTCAATGCGTTATTCACCTTATCGAGAAGCTTTATTACACGTGTTCCATGCATTGTCAAATCACAACCACCGCACTCCATTCAATCGGGAACCCCGATCAAAATTTAATCACCCATGAAGTATTTTTATGTCCCGAACAAAAATCTTGTTTCTGTGACAAACCTGAAGGACACACGCACATTCGAACATATGGATTCACAAATAATTGGATAATTGAATGAGACTGTAGAGCTAAGTGATTGAATCCGCCGTCAAAAATAGACTCTTCTCTGAACTGCGTGTTCTTCTGTTTTCACTAATATCTCGATAAGTATTGCTCATGAATGCATCTGCATGTGAGTCACATAGATTGACTACTGAATCTCAGCGCACGGTTTCACCGGCAAATACTCTCACAAGTGGATGGCTTCCACGTAACTCTGTTTTCCTGGCGTCAGAAAATCACAAACACATTATGATAACAATTGAATCAACTGTCGAAGACTGTAAGGGGTATGAGGAAATACTCCTCCTTAACGACTAACGGATATGCGAATCACCAATAATGTCTTGGTGAGAACTGATATAATACATTTGTGACAATCATTGGCTCTTTCGAAAAGTTAGAAGAAACAAGAGAACAGATTGATTTTAGATTCTCGTATTCCACTTTTACTGATAATGAAGTCAAGTGATTGAAACTACTACAACTCAGTTTTGCTCACCGCTGGATAACCTCCTCAGAAGGAAAGCGTACTCTGTGGAAAGAATTGTGGTGTAAAGTTACGCAGAACAAGCAGTATGAAAAACAGTGAGACAAATCTCGAAAAATATTCGTCAGGATATGTTAAGCAAACAACGAATTGACTCTTCAAAGCAGATTCTGAACTTCGGTGCATCCCGGATTGTTGCCGACAGTCATACAACATAGTTACTCATGCTACACGTAACTTCAATTTCAATTTTCCCACTGAGTGAACGTGGTAGTTGTTTATGTGTTAGGTGAATCTCTCAGTATCGTTCTCTCGCGTTGTCACTCACATGGCACCTCCACATCTCTATCAAGCCTTAATCAATGATATTATGTATGATTCAGGCACATGTCTCCCCTGAAACCCATGAATATATCAGGTATTATTTGTGAGATGGACAACTCAATGACCACCAGTTCATTCTGTCTCTCATGAACACCTACCAATTTTTGACGATCCACGTCAACGTTTTCCCTGTCCTCTCTTCACTGATCCTGTACTACTCATACGTTGTTTCTCATTTCTTCGATTATTGCAAGTGACTTGGAAGAAGAATGACTCCGATGACGTCATTCAAAAACCGTCAGGAATAACACAGATATCTCTGTCAAATCAATACCAGATGGTGTACAACTTCACTGTGTTCACGGATTCACCTATGATCACAATTTTGCCTACCCCACTGACTGAATCCTAGAGGTCAATTTCCCATACGTGTTAGCCGATCGTCAGAGGTAGTTACAAAATTGTTATACCAGTTACATCAGGCTACTCCGCCTTCCCCTAACAAAGCTTGACGATATAGAAAATAGTGTGTACAACCTTACTTTCATGGTCGTCAGCGATATTCATCCACCCATCTGGAAACAAGTAGGAGAGTGTCATCAGTGGAAAGAGAAACAAATGTGCGTGCTTGTGTGCAGTTTCACAGTAGGCTTCATGATATGATGAATATGTTACGAATGAATTCAATGTATGTGATCGACGACATCCGTGTATTCAATTGACAAGACTGATTCCTGGAATTTAATCCGCGGAAAATATGTTGCCATTAAATACGAAATCAAGGCTCACAATCTACGTTGTCACCATTGACTGTGACATTTCAGGCGTCAACAGTGAAGACTGATTCGTAGAATTCCTTTCGTCACAACACACGAACAGATCGCTTGCTGTAGATTCATCAGACACCAACATTTTCACCAATAATGTCTTGCAACTTAAGGGGAATCTGAGAAGAGGCATGTGAATGAAACCTCCAGTTGATGGCTAGTCACTGTCGACAATTACAAGGAGTGTGACGGGCGACAAGAGAGCATATTTGTTAGTTAAATTAGAAGGTAGTTCAACTTACAAGTCACCACTGGTAGTTCTGTTGTTTCTGGATTTTCTGTGGATCGTAGAAAAAATCGGGTCATAAATACACAAATATGCTTACATGTACATAAATAATTCAGAAATAATATGATGTGAGATTTCGTTCCGGTACAGATTTAATTCTCCGATGTCGAAATACTCAGTACATAGTGAAGAAATTTTTTTCATATAATTGAATAATTCGCGTCAACACCGACATCCGCTTTTCATCTTTTGTAAAGAATTCGAACGCATCGACGAAAACCTCTTCATCGAGAAGACATGAATCGCAATATTTTGAAGAGACAGTCGTTTGGTTTGACGCAGAGATATGACAAGCGATGTGGTCATCATGCAGGCGTGTTGGAGCTCAAGTCAAATTAAAGACACGCAACTGTCAGTGTTCAAGAAAATAAGCAGCCCTGCAACATCTCTTCTAACGTCCAGCTTCTGGTCTCGCCACGAAGATCTCCTCGACGAGATGCATGCAAGTTGTCGTGATATTTTGAGTTATACGTGTAATGCATTCAAGTCGATCTAGAGGAAGATGGGACATCGATAGAGGAGACAGAATACGGGAAAATCAGTGATGCAGTAGACAACACCGTTAGTGTAGCATTTTAATTCAAGTGTGAACTCCTCTGAGCACAAATACTAATATGTAGCATGCATGTGAGCATGAACACCGTTTTTAATGCACAGTAAAGCATGCATAGCACTGAAGCCTGTTGAGCTGATTAGGATTTTTGAATCCGTAGATGACTTGAAACATTCATTTCCGGTTGTCCAATTCATTGACTGGTAAAACACTCCTGTCAGGTGAATAGGACTGCGCGTCCATTGTGATTTGTCACAAAATGGCAAACATTATTCCAACTGCAATGTGTAAGCAGAGTTCAATGTTATCTGTCCTTTCGGACCGCCTGATCATCAGTATCTATTGAATTCAGGTGCCGATTAATCTCTGAAATAGGTTGTATATGCTTGTGGTTTTGAGCGTGGTAAGTCTCTCAACAAAAATGGCGCGCTGATTTAACATCAGTTTTGAACATTTAAATTGATTTCCTTATTCTGAGTGCAGTACATTTCCATACCGATTTCAGAACATTGAAAGTTAGTCTGGCTTCTCTGGTTCGAGATTTGACGAACCCATTCCTGTTGTCTAAATTAGAGAGTAAAGGGAGATGGCTTCAGATTCCTTCTAGTGTCTCTCATCAGGAGTGGTTATCCTCGTTGTTTGGCTACCTTCACCACCCGTGTTTTCACATGAACTTCTGTATTTTCCCCATCTTTGCATTACTTGTTGGTTAACACTTGTAAGTTTCAGAGGCGATATCATATTGGAGAAGTGTCATCCGAGAATTCAAGATATTCTGGAGTCTGCCTATCAGTTAACTTATTTTTGTATTTACGCACACACCTTCTGCTGCATTTTTTAATCAACAACACGACTATGAGTGTGGCTTTCGACTATGTGAAGACATATTACTCTTTGTATCTTATGGAATTTCACGAATATCATAGAAAATCAGAGAATGGTCTTGAGAACCACCTAAGAATGGATATGAAAGCCACTGTCATTTTACTAACTCCACGAATTGAAAGGCTGAGTATCAAGAAACGATTAAGTATTGATGTTAACACGCTGAATCACAAGGGTATGTGGAGTTACCATGAGAGAAATTACTGTTTATCCTCACCTTTTTGTGCTTATTAAGAGAAAAGTCAAACGAAAGTAGTTATTTCTTTAAATTAGGAGGAAGTAAAAGGTTCGATTCTCGGCTGACTAGGGAGTATCCAAGTCAAGTGTTGAATACGCAAATGTTTACTGTCTCGATGAGGTGTAGTGCCCTGTAGTCCTAGAGTAATGGGTGCTCTATTCAAGGTCACAGATTTCACATTCCCTAGATGCCTAAATGACACAATGTACTCCATCACCATCAAGCTTGTGACATTTAGGCATTTTGTGTTTACCGGAGCTGACATCAGTTGGAGAGCAGTAGGGAACCAACAGGCAGTACTGACAAGCTCACTCTTACCTCCAGATTGTGACTCTTAGGTGACAGATACTCAAACACCGGGTTTAGAAACCGGGACCTCGCGGTCAAGGGGCGAGCGCATAGACCACCTAACCATTCGCTAACGTTGTGTGAGAGCACTCGACCAAACTAGGCTGAAACAACTGTCCAGTACTCTCAAGCTTCCCAACGCTTCCCGATTTGATGTCAGCTCGCAATCAAACCCACAAACTGATCAAATAAGCGCGAACTCAAACTCGACAATGTAGTATTTGCCAAAAAGGTTTTCTTGAGGCTTTTCCCCAACACATGTGTTCCATCTTGCTTGAATATTTGAGATTGCTTTTTGGGGCCTCACCTTCCATCTACTCTATCGATTATTACGTCACATGAATTCGTTAGTCGTATGCTGTGTCATTATAGTACATGCTTCACTTCAGTTACCTGAATACAGTGAAGACTCTATTAATTCGATGAGTCTCTGAACACTTCGAAGTTGCAAGAATCATACTTGATTTGGCGAAGACAAGATGAAATCTCAAGTTTTCTTCTTCCGTCCATTTCTTGTTCACTCTTGGAGGTGGCCTGTTGTATGATGTCACCCAACGGTCGATCAAGCGTGTGTTCACTCCCTATCCAATTCCTTCGAAATATCTGTTGAGGAATATGTTCTCAAAACAAGGTTTTGAGCGAACAATTGTTTTCGATAACTTCTTCTTCAGGCTCTACAGTTATAAATCCATGAATAATAGAGTACATATAGCCAGTAAAGGCAAATGAAAATAATATCAGAAACTGTATTGGGGTGCATGTGTAAGTTGAGGTGATAGTCCATTAGTTAGCATAGTCAATTAAATGTGTATAGGGTGTTTAGTCAGAAAAATGTGATGAAGTGTGAATGAACAATTAGGTGATATAGTGTAGTTTTATAGTTAACAGAATACAAGTGTCCTTGGGGTGAGAAAATGCGATAACCACAAAATACATGTAAAGACACGTTAAAAAATGAGGCACTGGATATGAGGGCTGACCGATAATGTCTAATGATAAAATAAAGGGGCTAAATTGTAAATTGTAATAAAATGCTACAGAATTGGTAGGTTTAGTATAAAATCATAAAGGTTGACAAAGTAAGGGTAACAATGAGGTGAAATAAACTGGGTGGAGAAATGGATAATAAAGACATGATATCACAAAATATAAATAATGATAATAATAGTACGAAAAGATTATGATCCTGGTGACCTTATAGTGGGCCAGGGTAGACAAAGAGAGTGAATAAGTTTTTTCTGTACACATAGATCTGGTCTTTCTCTATTAATCTCTAAAGCCTCAGCTATGGCTAGGAGGCGTAATCGTGTGCCTTTGGGGAGATTGTTCGGTACCCGATACGCAACTGTAAATGACTCATCTACTTTGATGCTGTGTTCGCTATCCACTAGATGAGACAGAATTGCACTATTAATTGATTTGGTTGTTCTTTTCCCAAGCCAAACAGGAATATGTTCACGAGTGCGTAGAGATAAATTCCTCTGGGTACGACCTATATAACTAGCTCCACAGGAGCAGCTAAATTTATATACACACATTGATGTCGCCATTTTGGGCAATCTATCTTTAATGCACGGTGTCAATATCGGTTTGGTTGAGAAACTGACATACAGTTTTGCGGCACTAAAAGTTCTTTCAATTGATCTTGTTAATCTACGGTTTAATATATCACTGGCTATATCACCTTTGAATTGTACATTTAAGTAAAGCTTTTTCTTACTTACTGTGTCTCGCTTGGTATTATGTGTAGTTTCGTAGATATACTTCTTTACAAAGTTGGTAGGGTAGTCATTTTGTAGCAAGGCGTTTGTAAGATTTTTTATTTCATCTTCAATACAATCCTCGGTACATATGCGTCTAATTCTATGACTAAGACAGCGAATTAGGTTGCGCTTATATTGTATAGGTATGAAGCTATGGAAGTGGGTGTATTGTCCGTTCCACGTCGCTTTCCTATAGATGTTTCTTTTCAAGGTACCGTCTGATCTTTTTGTGAGAAGAACATCGAGAAATGGAATACTACCTTGTAGTTCCTCTTCACAAGTGAATTTAATAGCTGGGTGTACCTTATTGAAGACTTGCAGCAGATGTTGTCTATCCAAATTATTGTTACAAATGATAAAGGTGTCGTCAACATATCGACAATAATAATCGAGTTGGTTTAGTATCTCTTTTAAAGGACCATTTTCCAATTTGGATAGAAATATGTCGGCTAATAAGGAACCAAGGGGAGAGCCCATAGCAACCCCATCTATTTGGCGGTAGTACTTATTAAATACAAATTGGACATTCATAGTGCATTTTAGTAATAACTCTTTCAATTTTCTTGGTGTGATTCCAATTTCTATATTCTTTTCTACGAGTTGTTCACATATGTAGTCGACAGTTTCTACAAGGGGGACGTTGGTAAATAGTGATGTTACGTCCAGCGATAACATGGTTTTTTCTGTTATTTTCATATCTTTAATATTTTCAACAAAGTTAAAGACATCTTTTACACTATATTTGACCAACTGGCGGTGTAACGGTTCTAACAGTTTTACCAACCATTTGGCAGTTAAATGGAAGGGTGAGTTCGACATGTCTAGGATTGGTCGTAGGGGGATTCCCTGCTTATGTATCTTGGGTAAGCCATAAAGTCTAGGTGTATGAGTTCCGGTGGGCTTAATAGCGTCAAAGATGGAACTATCAATTAGATTTTCATTTTTTAGAGACTTCAAAGTTTTAACAAACTGACGTTCTGTTGCTTCATTCGAATCTTTACTATTACCTAACTTTTGAAACTTGGAACGGTCTTCCAGTATGGCGTTCATCTTATCAATATAGTCGCGTTTGTTTAAAATTACTGTACCTGATCCCTTGTCTGGTTTTGTGATAATAATGCTGTCATCCGACATTAGTTTTTTGAGGCATTCTCTATGCTTTTTAGTTAATATACTTTTCTTGTCAATCTTGGCATTATTGTATTGGTAACAACAATCAACCAAGGTACTTTTAAATCTGTCTAACTCATGTTGGGAGGACGGCGTTAGGTCAAGTGTCTGAATGAAGAGGTTTTCAAACTGTACTTCTGTATGTAATTGGTCAATATTAACTCTTTTATCACAAAATTTAGGGCCTAGTGACAACACTTCCATAGCAGTCTTATCTAAAGTCACACTGGAAAAGTTGAAGACGTACCTTTCAGGGTCCTTGGGAAAGTGGGATTCTGGTATTTCCGTATCTAATCCTTTTGTAAGCTGGATTCTTTTTTTAGTTTCTCTAGTTTTAGAAACATCGTGGACGTATTTTAAGAATAATTCCTTTAAATGTATGGGGAGTTCATCGACAGCATACTGTCTCTGTGGAATATTTCTTTCTAATGTGCTAATATATCCTTGGAGAGATTCAATCTGATTAAGAGCGAATCGCTTGAGAGATTTCGTATTATTATCCATTTCTCCACCCAGTTTATTTCACCTCATTGTTACCCTTACTTTGTCAACCTTTATGATTTTATACTAAACCTACCAATTATGTAGCATTTTATTACAATTTACAATTTAGCCCCCTTTATTTTATCATTAGACATTATCGGTCAGCCCTCATATCCAGTGCCTCATTTTTTGAACGTGTCTTTACATGTATTTTGTGGTTATCGCATTTTCTCACCCCAAAGACACTTGTATTCTGTTAACTATAAAACTACACTATATCACCTAATTGTTCATTCACACACTTCATCACATTTTTCTGACAAAACACCCTATACACATTTAATTGACTATGCTAACTAATGGACTATCACCTCAACTTACACATGCACCCCAATACAGTTTCTGATATTATTTTCATTTGCCTTTATTGGCTATATCTACTCTATTATTCATGGATTTATAACTGTAGAGCCTGAAGAAGAAGTTATCGAAAACAATTGTTCGCTCAAAACCTTGTTTTGATTTGAATATGTTCTCTCCTGTTGGTTCCTTCTCATTGTTTTTTGTTGCCCATTTATTCATTTGTGGTCGAGATGGATCCAGAGAAGACGGCAGCTGTTCATAAAGGTCTGAAGAAGTCTGTGGTAAATGCTCCCCGTGACTCTAGCGCCAAGTCTTTGACCCATATAGAAGAACTGACTGACTGAACAATTGTTCCTTATGCCGAGTGGATGCAGAAGATTTCCAAACTGACTACGGAGTAGTGGAGAGTTTCCTTGTCTTTCCTATTCGAATATTCATATCTGCATCCATTCTTTCTGGTTGTAGATGGAGTGGTGCCTCCTTTGTAAGCGAATGAAGTAATGTGTGCTGAAGCTTCTACCGATGATGGGTGGTACTTGTTGATCAGGTGAAGTCCTGTCTTTGCCGACTTCCTCCACTATCAACTTGTTTGTTTACACATATATGTAGGTCTTCCAGTTTGTTTCACATTGAACATAAGTCGTCCGCAAAATCCATATCTATTTCAGTCTTCTAATCGGTGGTCCAGCATATCGCCGTCCTCTCATCCCCACTCGACGTCTGATGACTGATCAAGTCAAAACAATTATCAGGGTCATCGGTGGACAGGCGGGCAGCCACGTCTTAGTGATATCTTCACTTCACACGCCTCACTGACTTGCATGTTGTGGATCACTAGATCTGCATCCTCGTCAAAAGGCTAGCAGTTGATTGAAGTTTGCAAATACTTGGTGCACAAGAACGTGTCACAAAAGATACTAAGAAGCGTCAGTGGGATATTTCCCCATCACTTCATGTCGCCTTCAAGCTTCCCTCAATATGTGGCTGATGTAACTACTATATTTCGAATTCCTATCAAGGTGACTTATTCCTCGAATCATCCATCCATTCATTCATTCATCATCACTCGCCGCACTACACATGATAGATGTTGATGGAACTCCCGTGTGACTTGTTGGAAGTGCATCCTATGACGCGTGGCCACGTTTTTGACCATTACAGAGGGACTGATTTACTACATTTTTTGTGTGGATAGTCCTCATCTTGTTCTTCTTGATATAGAGTGCAACAGAATTTCAAACTGATTTTAGAGTGTTGAAGGTGTAACATGTCATTCCCATTCTGGTTGCCTTTAACATCTTCATCCGTCCCATCTCGTTGGAACGATGCTTCCTAGATATGTGAATGCAGTGATTTCTCTTAATGTTTTACGGACGACGGTAAATGATGCTGCTTGGCTAAGTTCATCACCACTGTCTTCTCTGTGTTCAGCTGTAGGTTGGTCATCGCTGTCTGCTTCTACACCAAGTTTGTTGGCTTCCGACTTCAAGTTTTCCAGTTCGTCTGATATTGAAGATAAAGAGTCCTCAGATGAAATTTAGATCTTTCTGAGTCTTCCTTTTCCCACAACGTATTCCTCTATTCTCACTCACCACGCATAGTCTGACGAATAATCCAGTCCATCGAAATTAGTATAAATATCATTGGTGATAATAGACAGTCAGTCCTGTGCTACCCCTTGTTTTCACTTCAAACGCCTTGTTAAGTTTTGTGTTGTGGACCACCTGACACCTGTCACCAATATGAAACTGTCGAGTGAGGTGATGAAGATCTGGAGTGCTTCTCGCCACAATGTTCAATCAATTTCCAAATTACTTCTCGGTCAATACTGCCGAAGGCCTTTTGGACGATATAGCATATTTCTATTCATGATGCTGTAGCGCAATATGTTATGACTTTGAACTCAGTAGATGCGTTACCTATGTTCCTGTAAATGAAATCAAAGCTCGTAATTCTCGGCTTCGATCTTCATTGGGATCGTGAGTAAGAAATATTAAACAATTTGAAACGAGATAATAAACAAATGAAATCCCTCCACACTAACTCTGAAGAATTATGCTGATACTCACTGTCGGCTGGCTACAAGATGAAGTTTCCTGAAGTTCTTGAGAGAATTCGTGAACAGTATGGTACAACACGTCGGATGTGAGGAACATGATAACCAGTGAAATTCTCTGGCGGTCACCTGATATTTCGAATTGACAGTAGTTCTATTTCATGAGTCACTGATTTCCGTATCAAGTGGTTGAATGGTCAAAGAACTTTCCGTCATATCCTGAAAATCCTGGGTTTGACCACCACGAGTATTGTGGATGAGTCAATTTGGGGAGACACGAAAAAGGATGAAAGATTCGTACACCAATTCATTGTGTCTTTTGGCTCGTATAATTAAAATATTTCAAGATTAAACCTAAATTAAACCAAGTCGTTACAAAGGAAATCTAGAAAATTAATCGATATTATCTGAAATATGGTTGATGTGAAAGCTTGAGTAGGCATATCAAGGAATACACAAGGCTAGCGTTGAATGGCTTGCATACTCGAAGAAAACTTTAGTGTGAATGACTGAGTGGTTCTGCGTGAGCGTGATTTTGTATTCTGTTATGGATGCATACACGAGTGGAGGAGTGGACACTTACCTGTCAATGTAGGCTTGAGTTGCTCTTGCTTTCGAACTGAAACATGAACAAATAGGAAAATGTGCAGACTGTGAAAAAATGGGAGAATAATTTCTTCGGGGTTGATAGCCTTGAGAAACACCAGAAAATCTGAATAGCTTTCAAATGTGTAAATGACCACGTCATTGAGAGCGTAATGATTTCATGCCTATGTCGCTTTAATGCGTTGTAAAGACGCATAGGTTCACTTCAACACAATTATTTGAGCACGGTGCAGAATATCTCAATTCTATTGGGTTTTTTAGGCATTTTGTATGCAGAACTCTCTTTGAAAAATGTAAGATTTGAATGGGAAAAAACAAAGAATTCGTAAGATATAAGAACAATGATCCAATGAATTCATTGACTCACCTCGTCGAAGCTCTTCTTCCTCAGCTACAATGCAAAACAACCACAGATTAGGCGAAGACTCCAAACAATTGTTCATCAACCATGTCAGCATAGCCACTCATATCGATTCTCTCTTTTGTTTGCTTTGCGTTTCTAGTGGAACATAAAGCTTCAATTCTGAGCTACTAAGTTTTATTTTACTTATTTTTATTTTTGATTACAGCTTGATTCCGCACCGTATTTTTTGTACAAGTATGGAATTTTCAGCATGGATATAGGTAGCCCAAATTTTGAAGGCCGACCATTGATATCAGGTGTGTGTCAGCAAAGTATCGAACCCCAGACCATGTGCATGGTCAGCGACAGTTCTAACCACTGTGACACCAACACACTGGAGATGGTGTATCTTCCATCGGATGAGATTTTTAGCTTTAAACTAGACCATCGCTCTTTTCCACTGGCCTCTGATGACATATTATATGTGACTCAGGGATACATCCATTCGCTGAGGACCGACACTGGACCACACACTCTTCGTCGGACAGCCTTCCACCAGTGAACCACGGAGATACGCCAAATTTATACAGAGAGTTAAATAGTGTTTTATGCTAAGACACTGGTTAACGATGAAATAGTGCTATGCGAAGCAATTAGAGTTAACTCTATGGAGCCAATTGGAAGTGAAGTAAATGCAAATGTGTTCGAGGAGAAATAATTACGCCTTATTGGATAATGAGTAGTTCATATCGCATGATTTTCTTTTGAAATGGCATTGTACAGCTAAATATCCGTGTGGTTGAGTATTTTCATATTTATGTGCATGAGACAAACTGAGGCGTTGAAGCATCGGATATGTAAGCAGCAGTAATGCCAGAGAAAATTGCGAATCTCCAGTCATTTGTCGAACATGAACATGTGGGCACATTTCTTGTCGAAGAAAGTGAATCAGTTAACGACGATGAATGAATGAATGAATGAAAGTCAAGTGAAGTGGTTTCTCTTGAAGCTATCCCATCAATCGTGTCATATTAGATCTGAAACTCCAGAGTGTGTTTCCTTTTAGTGAATTACTCACAGATTCTGCGACTCAGACTGAGTGTGAGAAGCGATTTTATGGTTTGGTTGTCTTTTAGGGGTTATTTTATTTTACATTAATATTAGTTCTTTCATTTTTGCTTATTTTTTTTGGATCTCTACTTATCTATATCGTAAATGACACTTCAATTTTTATTTCCTGTTTTCATAGTTAATTCGACTTTCAGGTGTGTGGAAGTTTGTGTTGGAAATATCTTTGTATTTCCGATGTATTTTGATCAGAATTATTAATTTAAAAAACATTTGAACACATAGATGCTTGAGGGAAAATGTTAAGTGATCACATTGACATTTATTTGCCAGATGTGACTTGATATGTGCTTACCCACTGATGAATTCCTCAGGAAGAATTCGTACTCTGTAAAAAGAATTGTTGTGTTAAGTAATGCAGAACATGCAGTATTAAATACAATGAGACGAATCTCGCAAAATATTCGTCTGACAACAACTAGCTGACAATTGAAGGCAGCCTCCGAACTTCGGTGGGTGTTGGATTCCTGCACATAGTGTCAGCTGGAGAAGTAGTATTATTATTTCATGTCAGTTGAAACACGTGTACGTTCTCGAATAGGTCGAATTATTGTAATCATAATACGATAGCTTTGTATGTCAGATACTAACAAGCCCCAGTGAGATATTACCCCATCGCTCCCTGTCGCCTTCAAGCTTCACTCACTACCTGGCTGATGTTAACACCATATTTCTAATTCCGTGGTATTTCGCCTTGATGATGACGGCAAGTCAATGATTGAAGTATTCTGTAATTATAGAAAAACTCAGCTCAGTGATTGGAGTGGCTGATGTTCCATCGGAGATTACCGACGGGTTATCAGTACTGAAAATATATTTAGACGACTTGTTGAGTAGAGAATCGAACGCGTGTACGGATGACAAGTGATGTCATGATTTGCATCACATATACACATTTATTTGAACATCCCCTCTTCAACAGGCTACATATTCATATTCAAAGATGCAAAATGACGCCAATCATGCACTGAAACTTTTCTGCTCACCCTTCATCATTTTATCCAAGATTTCTACATCGGTTGATAAAAGGAAGCAAATTAGGCAGTAATTTATTGAAATGTCTAGTATTTAATTGTTTCACAGTATAATATGGAAGTTGAAAGTGTGAAAACGCGATGTGATCAATCACAGAATCACCGGAAAGCTAAGAGGGAGTACAGACGGCGATCCGTTTCATCAGCCACGTTTTGTACTTTTCAGCAGTACGCACGCACCCACAATAGTGATGTGAAGCCAGGACATTCTAGTTATAACACCAGCTGGTAGACCAATAAACCACTGTTGCCTAAGCAAATGTTCAATGAATTCCAAGTTCTCCCGATTCACGATACGTGTCAAGCGCAACCACCAGTTTGTCCAGGTATGTGAACCAAGTCAGCAAGGAGGAGAGTTACTTTCCTGTGAAACTGGCTGGCGCTTGCACCCTATAAGCATCATGAATATGCAGAAGCTGGGAGACATGGAACATTCAGTCGAGTCACAATATCTAAATCTTCTATCAGACTGCCTCGTAACCAGATTATCCTGGTTTCGAACACTCGTGTGTGTGAACTGACGATGAGCGAAAAACTAGTCTGACGAAACAGCTGTTCAGAGCGCCACACTTGTTTTCCAATGGCACTTGACTCACGATCGATCCTGTAGCCAACGATTTCCCTACCTGCAAATGAATACATGATGCATAAAATGGAAGTTATCTGGGAATAAATTGAGAATGTTCGTTGAATCCCCCGCTCTGGTGAATGATATTATTGTATTTGTACTCACTGTGAGCTAGGCGGTTCAGCTGTGAAGGTAACGCTGAATATCCTGTGTAGAGAGATAGCCAACATATTTCTGATAACCTCTACAGCGCAGAAGTGACGTCAACAATAAACTCACTTCAACCGTTGGATTCATTCACTACCCTGATGTAGACGATCTCGATGAATCTTCACATTGCAAACGACTTTTCCGTAACCCCCTTGTCTGTTCCATCAGGACAGTGGGCCAGCCAAATCCGTGTTGCGCACTGTCGAATACATGTTCTCTGTCAAAGTTAGTTCAGCTGACACACTTGTAGTCCGAGTAAGTAATCCGAAGTGTGGGTGGTGAACTACCAGTGAATTAACTGACAAGTGTATCATGTTATGTTAAGAAACGGTGAAGGTTGAGAGATGAGTGATGAACACTGACTCAGCACAAGAAGGATAACAACAAGGAGGAGGAGAAGATGAGGAGAAAATTCTCATGCACAAACCTGCTTTGGCGACTTTTTCTCTTGCATTCGGATCATCTGAAAAGAATAAACAAAATATCAGTGAGGAGTTGTCAGTGTATTGTGAGAAGCCATTGAAATCAGTGACATGGAAGTTACATACAATGAACTGAAAGGATGACATTTCGAAAAGTCAATATCGACGAGTACATGTGAACTTTGATAAGGTGAGTGAATGCAGGAATGCACGTCAAGTCAGACAGCTGTGAAGTGACGAATAACTTATGGACAACAGCATCTGTTGTACTCTTGGACACGACTCTCCACAGATTCAGTCGAAACAGTAGTATGAATTGAGAAAAGCTCCATAAACTTAGATATTGTGCGTCGGTGGCACAGTTGTTAGGACTCTCGCCGACCATGCACATGGTCCGGGGCTCGAGCCGACGCCGACGCACACCTGATACCTATTGTCGGCCTGCGAAATTTGGGCTACCGATATCCATGCTGAAAATTCCACACTTGTACCAAAAATACGTAGTGGAATCAAGCTGTAATCAAAAATAAAAAAAATATTCCATTAGCTGTCAACTGTTTCAACTGAGTAGCGTCACCCGAAGTGGCGAGCATTTCAAGTAACTCGTTGACACGTCCTCTCATCACCGAATGACGATATCATACGAAAATCGCATAGACTGTGATTCCGTGGACAGGAATTGAATCTCTGTCTCTATGTCGACTGTTTCTCGTCTGTCTTAACCTTATTCTTGTGGAAGCATGTCAGTGAGTTATTCGTCTCAAAGAACATTTGACCTTGTTAAGCTTTTCTTCATTCGAGTCCCAATCAGAGTTAACTATCTGCCAATATCTGGCTGATGATTAAATGGCTGGAGGCAGTCGACTGAGGGAGGCCCGACTCACCTAGCTAGCTATATTCACACTCCTGGTTGACCACTTGTAGAAGTGTACTGTCAACGAGTGACAGAAAACAAGCAGAAAGTCTCGGGCCACGAAGGGCTTCCTGACAATTGAATCTAATCAACGTTTTACAGGAATTTGAGTACATTGTAATGGAGATCCACCTAGATTGTTGGTGGCCACCTTGCGAACCTGGCTGATAGAATTCAGTCAACAGAAACCCACAAGGATGAGAAGCAAGACACTATTCAGTATGAAATCAGAGTATTACATGCCTTATGATTCAACTCCATTCCACCGAATTTATTTTTTTTTTGGCCTTACGTGTTAGTGTTTCGATAAATTCCGTATCCGTGTACAATGACGGGATACGTAGTTCTCATCATAATCTATGAAAAACTCCGCTTGTTAAGATTATGTAACGGAAACACTTAATGCACTCAAGCGAGTAGGCAATGGAGTCAATTTTTTCTCGCTTACTTGTTGGAGCATAAGTTTTATTCATTCGGATATCTGTGGAAGTGAATTACACAAATTACAGAATAATTTAGGTAGAAGCGTTGATTAGTTCAATGATACGAAAGAGATATCTGGAAATGTGGATGTCTCTGCATATTTCCTCACCTTATGTGGACGAAGTGTATGTCACCATGTGATGACAGTGTCATCGCACATAATTACTCAAATGTTGTTTACAAACAAAGCTGACTTTACAGACTGATTGAGTGGACGTCAGTGTTGTCAAAACCTGCATTCTTTTAGACAATCACAGATCCTTGAGGAAGAATGTTGGAATTGTAGAGGTTGTTGGATTCTGGTCTGCACTGTCGACGAGGCGTTTTTCATCCTTGGTGTGTTTGGTGTTGGTACTGTGGTTACAGCGAACTGAGAGGGTCGTAAATAGAGAGAGAACAGCCACCGGTCTATTGATCTTTTCATCCAGTGATTTGTCTTCCTGAAGAATTCTTCTCTAAATAAATACAGCTACTCTAAATAGCTCAACATTCAAAGTCAAGTTTGACAGCGTAGTAACTACAAAAGATAACTCGATGCAAATTTGTAAACAAAACGTTGATTTGCTCACATTCAGAAACGATGTTCCTCAGTTCACTCCACTCAACTGTAAATGAAAGAGAGGCATTTCAAGTTAGGTTGTATGTATAAAATATGCACGACGGGCATCCAATGTACTTAGCTCCACAGTGACATGTGATCTGATATTTACACAAATAATTGGACATATGTTGCGATTATGTCCTCAAGGCGTCCGCAGGCCAACGGCCGACTGGAGGACACTACTCTCCGACCTGCTTACTCGACGTGTATCCCGTGAAAATAGGTCACGAGCCAATATCCAGCATGGCTGAAAATATGTTGTACTGGGTCAGCGACCAGCCCACTGCCCATACCATCTCCACAGACGCCCCCTGCTCTAAAGTAATCTTAGGAGTCAAGAATAAACTATCGAATGCAACACATTCTCGTCTCGTCTCATTTGTATTGCTGGAGCCTCAGCCATTCACATGGAAAATAAAGAGTAATGTGTACAAGACGAAATCACCCAAACACTCGTACCATAGTGGTAACAAACGCGTCTATTTCTACTGAAGTGTGATTTGTGTGCTTAATTTTTTGATTCCATGTGACTCCTACATTTCTCCATGACTCTCGCACTATTCATATTTCTCCTCGATTGCATGTGCATGTTGATCTCAAGTCACTCAATACGTTATTCACCTTATCGAGAAGCTTTGATACACGTGTTCCATGCATTGTCAAGTCACAACCACCACCATCCAATCAATCGATAACCCCAATCAAAACTTCATTACCCATCAAATGTTTGAAGTATTTTGATGTCCCGAAGAAAAATCTTGTTTCTGTTACAAACCTGAAGGACACACGCACATTCGAACATATGCATTCACAAATATTTGGATAATTGAATGAGACTGTAGAGCTAAGTGATTGAATTCACCGTCGAAAATAGACTCTTTGCTGGACTGCGTGTTCTTCTGTTTTCACTAATATCTCGATAAAGATTACTCATGAATGTATATGCATGTGAGTCACACAGATTGACTACTGAATGGCAGCGCATGGTTTCACCGACAAATGCCCTCACAAGTGGATGGCTTCCACGTAACTCTGTTTTCCTGGCGTCAGAAAATCACAAACACATTATAATAACAATTGAATCAACTGTCGAAGACTGTAAGGGGTATGAGGAAATACTCCTCCTTAACGACTAACGGATATGCGAATCACCAATAGTGTCTTGGTGAGAACTGATATAATACATTTGTGACAATCATTGGCTCTTTCGAAAAGTTAGAAGAAACAAGAGAACAGATTGATTTTAGATTCTCGTATTCCACTTTTACTGATAATGAAGTCAAGTGATTGAAACTACTACAACTCAGTTTTGCTCACCGCTGGATAACCTCCTCAGAAGGAAAGCGTACTCTGTGGAAAGAATTGTGGTGTAAAGTTACGCAGAACATGCAGTATGAAAAACAGTGAGACAAATCTCGAAAAATATTCGTCAGATATGTAAAGCAAACAACGAATTGACTCTTCAAAGCAGATTCTGAACTTCGGTGCATCCCGGATTGTTGCCGACAGTCATACAACATAGTTACTCATGCTACACGTAACCTCAATTTCCAGAGTGATTTTCCCTACTGAGTGAACGTGGTAGTTGTTTATGTGTTAGGTGAATCTCTCAGTATCGTTCTCTCGCGTTGTCACTCACATGGCACCTCCACATCTCCGTCAAGCCTTAATCAATGATATTATATATGATTCAGGCACATGTCTCCCCTGACACCCATGAATATATCAGGTACTATTTGTGAGATGGACAATCGAATGACCACCACTTCATTCTGTCTCTCATGAACACCTACCAATTTTTGACGATCCACGTCAAAGTTTTCCCTATCCCCTCTTCACTGATCCTGTACTACTCATACGTTGTTTCTCATTCCTTCGATTATTGCAAGTGTCGTGGGTGTAGAATGACTCTGATTATGCTATTCAAAAACAATCAGGAATAACACAGATATCTCTGTCAAATCAATACCAGATGGTGTACAACTTCACTGTGTTCACGGATTCACTTGTGGTCACAATTTTGCCTACCCCACTGACTGAATCCTAGAGGTCAATTTCCTATACGTGTTAGCCGATCGTCAGAGGTAGTTACAAAATTGTTATACCAGTTACATCAGGCTACTCCGCCTTCCCCTCACATAACTTTGCGATAAAGGAAATAGTGTGTACAACCTTACTTCCATGGTCGTCAGCGATATTCATCCACCCATCTGGAAACAAGTAGGAGAGTGTCATCAGTGGAAAGAGAAACAAATGTGCGTGTTTGTGTACAGTTTCAGAGTAGCTTCATGATATGATGAATATGTTACGAATGAATTCAATGTATGTGATCGATGACATCCGTGTATTCAATTGACAAGAGTGATTTGGAATTTAATCCGCGGAAAATATATTGCCATTAAATACGAAATCAAGGCTCACAATCTACGTTGTCATCATTGACTGTGACATTTCAGGCGTCATCAGTGAAGACTGATTCGTAGAATTCCTTTCGTCACAACACACGAACAGATCGCTTGCTGTAGATTCATCAGACACCAACATTTTCACTAATAATTTCTTGCAACTTAAGAGGAATCTGAGAAGAGGTGATTGTGTATGGAACCTCAAGATGATGGCTGTTCACTGTCGACAATTACAAGGAGTGTGACGGACGAGTAGAGAGCATATTTGTTAGGTGAAATAGAGGGTAGTTCAACTTACAAGTCACCACTGGTAGTTCTGTTGTTTCTGGATTTTCTGCGGAGTGTACAAAATGGGGTCATGAATACACAAATTTGTTTACATGTACATAAATAATTCGGAAATAATATGATGTGAGATTTCCTTACGGGACAGATTTAATTTTCGATGTCGAAAAATTTAAGTAGATGTAATAAGCTGTGTAGTATTTCTTTGTTCATAGCGTCCGTTGTATTTTGTTGAGTTTACTTCGTATCTTTGCCGCTTTCCTCCAGTGTACGTTTTATTCAATTTGTCTGTAAATTGACTGACCGTTGATGATGCCTTTCTATTTCTCAATGTCAAGGATTAAAGTGTTGTGCTTTTATGATCATTGTGAGATGATACTTCTCTCACACACACACTTGCACAGATTACTGTGAAAACGTTTCTCTGTTGAGAATAAGACTCCCTGATTTTTTTTAAGATTTCTCATGAAACGGAACACATCACTCTGATCGTATTGTGGATCAAACGTAAATTTTGGAAATAAAACATACTTAATACTTCAGTCTGTTCCTTCTTTGCCGTCTTCTTTCGACCCCCTGAAATATACAACACATGATCTAATGATGTTGTTTTTGATAAAATATATATATGTTATATCACTGCATACATAGTAATCTCGCAAAATTGACGGCTGATCATCACAGTGGGATCTGTACTATTCAGTTTGTTTCACACTTTAGATTATTTCAATACTTAAGCTATCGTCTGCAGCATTTCTTAACTGACATTCCACTGATAACTAGCTGATTGTATGTGTATAAATTTGATGTGATGAAGTCTTAGTTGCATTTCCTGTTAAATTAGTAAAATTACTGTTTTCTGAAGCGATATTTCTCCAGAAGGCGAGAAGATTATTTCAACCAGATTGTTTACTAACCTGATTTTCCATTTGACTTCTTTTTACTTGTGTTTAGCACATTTTCATCACCTGAAATTTTAAAATGACACCAGTAGTTAGTAGACCGAATAGATGCAAGTTGTGGCTTACAAGGAATCTTTGCTTTCCAAATATAATGAAGTGTCCAGATTATTCTTCTACTATATTGAAATTTATCTTGATTACACCTTGATTCCACTCTTTTTTTTTTCGGAATAAGCATGGAATTTTCAGCATGGATATCGGTAGTCCAAATTTTACAGGCCGATCATATATATCAGGTGTGCGTCAGCAAGGGATTAAACCATCTCCTACCTAACCACTGTGCCACCGACACATCTGTCATCGGGGAGCACTTTGAACTGTTGTTGTTATTAGATGGTATCAAGCAATCGGAAAGAATCCCTCGATGACCGATGTTTCAGGCTAGTTTTTGGACACTTGTCAGTCAGTAAGGTTTACTTAAAATCTTGAAGAAGCATATTTCGCTCCTGAGATTGGAACTTGCATAATCCGGAGCATGAATAGAAGCGTTACTGCTGAACTACTCGAGCCTACGTTTAACCCCCTGTAGGGCTGAGAAATGGGTACTTTGAATGGACATCATATGTTAGCTGATATTATGCGTGTAGTCCATCGTTTGATGTCTACCGAATAGCTACTAGTACAAATATGAGAATAAAGCGTTATACTATCCAAGTAATATAAGAGGGAGAAACCAGGTGGTACAGCGACTCATCCCCTTTTGGCAAATTCATTTACGTTAATTGCAAAATATTTCACATGGAATTCTAGTAATAAAAGTGATAAGCTATCAAAGGACATAATTCCGAATATTTACTGATCCGTTAGTGAAACTGGATAACCGGGTATTAGGAATTTATTGCTTGACTACAGATCAACATACATGTGCAAAGGAAAAAGGATATAGAATCGTGTAAGAGTCCTGGAGAAACACAGGAGTCATATGAAGTCAAAAATTTAGGCGCAAAAATCGCAAGTCAGTAGAAATCGACACGTTTGTTACCACGATGGTAGTAGGAGTGGTTGGGTGATTACCACATGTATACATTACTCTTCATTTTCCATGTGAATGGCTGAGGCTCCAGCAATACAAAGGAGACGAGACGAGAAGGTGTTGCCTTGGATAGTTTGTTCTCACCTCCTAAGATTACTTTCGAGTAAGAGGCGTCTGTTTAGATGAATGGGCAGTGTTAGCGAGGTGTTCCATAGTCACAGTGCTTCTATAGCTACTGTCACATTTCCGTAGGCATGCAAGGTGGCGTTTATGAGTGCTTTTGAAGAAATACACATTCATCTATCATTGTAACTGTCTTGCTGCATTCTGTTTACTGCACATCATTGGTAATACCTTATTTTGTTTCATTCTTATATGTAGCCTGAGTACATCTCAATCATTAAATTGTTTGTCTTATTACGTAAGCTAACATAATCATTTAATCCTTCTTTATTCATTGACCAATATTAACATTGATAATTACGACAGCATATCTATGTCATAAGCATCATATCATGTGAACATCAGTCAAGTTTCTTTTGAACAGGGTAACAATTTGCAGTAAACATGTATGTAGCTGATTGCAGTAGATTAGTTAAAACGGCAGACAACGGACAATGAGGAAACAGGCATAAACTGCAATCACACAAAAACATGAAGAATCTGGACTTCGCCGATGGTATATGTCTGATTCTCCACAAACTGAAAGATATGCAGTTGATGAAAAGCAATAAGCTAGCAGGAGAAGCATCCAGGGCGAATAGGTATTCAGGTGAACATAGATAGAAACAGAGGTGATGAAGAATCCTGGCCAACACCAACAGCAACAACAACAACAGACAACAATCAGCCACCATAAATGGGAGGAACCTGAAAGAAACAACCTCCTTTACCTGCCTACCTGGGAAGCATCGTTCAACTACAGGCCGACGAACTGACGAGGATATCAAAGCCAGAATCGGAAAAGCAAGACAAGCTTTCATTACTCTTAAGTCTGTGTGGAGGTCATCAGCACTCATAATCAAAAATAAGATCCAGATTTTCAACTCCAATGTGAAGTCAGTGCTACTCACCATACGGATCAGAGACTTCGCCAGCGGGTCATAAAGAGCATCTCAAACAAACTTCAGACCTTCATTAACAGTTGTCTTCACTCAATACCACTCAAGATCAGATGGCCAGCCAGAAAAGAACAGCAACAGGGATCTCTGGCAAAGAGCGAACCAACCAAGCAGGAACCGATTGTGAAACAAATAGACAGGAATAAATGGAGATGGATTGGCTGGCCATACTCTGAGGAAACAAACTATCAAGTGACATCACTAGACAAGCCATTGCTCGAGTGGAGCCTGAGTGGAAGCGACGAGTTGGTCGTCCCACCTTGGGTTGACTTGAACGAGGTCATGTGGAGAGGAGATGAAAGCATTTGAGCAGACTTGGACCTGGCTGAAAAGGTTGACGGAAAACCGAAGACAATGGAGACTCGCAGCTGAAGCCCTATGTTCCTCTAGGAATGAAAGGATATAATAATAATAATGTATGTAGCTGTTGCTACTGGTAAGCTACAAACAGGCCACATCAGCAATATGTAATTAGTGCAAATTTATTGTGTTGAAGTATACCAAAGACAACCTATGTAATATATATGTAAATGTATATGTGTTGACATGCATGGAATTTTCTACGGATTTCACTTCTATTATCGAAAATATGTTATCAGAAGGTTATCAAACACCATCGACTTACAACTACACTGTGTGTCCGTGCTCAAAACTTACTTGAGTATGTTGGTCTCCCATTAGCTAACTGAACATCAGAGTCTGTTGAAAATAAAACGGATTCAATGACATGACAAAAAACAAGAAAAGTACAGCGGATCTGATGAAATTCTTAAACAAAACGAAGTGTAAAGGACGCACTAGATGCAGAACTCCGACCAGAACAAGCTGGATTCAGGAAAGGCAAACCATGTACTGACCAAATTGTAACTCTACGCATCATTATCACAGAACGAAGCATGGAATGGCAATCAAACCTCTACCTCAACTTCAAAGACTTCGAGAAGGACTTCGACAGCGTTGACCGCGAAGCAATTCGGAAATTACTCGAGTACTACGGCGTACCTCAAATATTCATTAACCTCATTATCATCTGTACAACAACGGCGCACTTCAAGTGATCCACAAGGGAAAACTCAACGAGGTGTTTGGAGTAAACACAGGAGTCAGACAAGGGTGCCTATTATCACCAATGATATTCCTAATTCTGGTGGACTGGATTATGCGTCAGACTGTGAGTAGGAAACGAGAAGACAGGGATATCCTGGACCGACGTGAAGAACTTAGAAAACCTGGATTTCCCGCGCGGTTGATTTATATTTGATGTCACACAAAAATCGAAGACTTACAAGCGAAAACCGACAAACTGGTCGAAGAAGCAGATGGCGAAGACAGGACTCCGAGTGAACATAGACAAGACGGAGGTGATGAAAATAACCAACCAACAACAATAGCAGCAACAACCCGCGTCAATTACCATCAATGGAAAGGATTTGAAAGAGGTTACTTCACTCACTTATCTAGGGAGCATTGTCTCAACTACAGGAGGAACGGACGAGGATGTCAAGTCGAGATTCGGGAAGGTGAGAAATACATTCATCAACCTGAAACCAATCTGGAAATCTTCGTCACTCAGCATCAGCAACAAAATTCAGTCGGATTTTCAATACAAACAACGTCAAGCCAGTCAGTTCTTCTATACGGATCAGAAACTTGGCGGGCGGGTCACAAATAATATTTCCAACAGGCTAACTCAGACCTTTATCAACAACAACTGTCTTCGCTGGCTCTATACTGAAGATCAGATGGCCGGGTCGGAAAGAATCACCACCAACAAGAAACTATGGGAATAAACAAAACAATAACAAGCCAATCGCCCAACAAATGTGCAGGAGAAAGTGGAGATGGAATGGACACTCATTGCGGTGGCCGCTGGGTGACATCGTGAGTCAAGCCAGTGCACGAGTGGAACTCAAAAGGGAAGCGACGAGTGGGACATCAGTGTGAGGGTGACATGGAGGAGATCGTGTAAAGAGGATTTGAAACAGTACGGACTAACATGGATGCAGGTGAAAAGTACAGCAGAAGGAAGACAGAAGTGGCGAGTGGAGACGTGCAGCTGAAGCCCTATTTTCCACTAGGAATCCAAGGGAGCAATAATAATAATATTTACTTATCCATTTGTCGATTTAGCATTAGAATTCAGCCAGTGTGAAATCGTGCACTTATTGAAATTACAAAACATTCACAATATCACCGATAGATATCAAAGCAAGTGGATCAGTATTTTAGTTTAGAAATTTTCCCTATTTGAAACATCATCCATTCTATTAATAGTCCAGTTATGGATAATCTATGTATATGACAACCAAATTTCCACATTTTCTGACTCCAGATATGTTAGGAGAAATTAATTTTCCTCTAATGAAAGTGACTTGATTTGGTGAAGTGCTCCTTATTCTGTAAACGATTTCTATTACAGTATATTGAGGTGCCCTCACACATGGCTATCTAACTAAAAATAACGAATTTTTCCTCGCTTCATCCTACTGACGTCAAACGTTTTATTATCTAATGCATGAAAAATCATTCAGTGAAAATTTTTCTCCCGGATAATTCATTGGAATTTAATGCAAGTAGATAAATCTTTAAATATTCTCATTTATAATATTAGAATAAGACACATAAGCGAACAATATTGTTGTTTTCAATTGGAACCTTTTCTTCAGGCTTAACTCTAATTTGCATAGACTCATGTATAAAAATTTTAACCAATGACGGTGATTTTGTGGATCCAAATAATAATAATGATGATAATCATAATAATGTATTTGCGGAACACATTTCGAACAATCTGATCCATCACACACGGACTCGTCATAGGAATACACATGTATGAAATTAATAAAGAGGTAAGAGGTGAGAAAATAGACTACTTGGGTCAAGTTAAAAGGACATATTCAAGGTCAAAAGCCATTATATCTATCTAAGCCCTTCGAACATGCAAAAAATGACGTCACATCCCACTGCATTTGCCAATTTGAATGTACGTGTGGACACACATACACAGAGAGGACTCATCGATCTCTGCAAGTAACAGCTGGCATCAGAGCATATTCCAAAATGGCTCCAGAAACAAATGGAATCTCGAGAACCATTAACGGTGAGAACAGGAGACCTAGCTCTTCGATTGCGAAACATATTACAGAGGAGACAGGACATAAAATTGATGTTAACAGATCTTTTAAATCTATCTATAAAACGTGTTTGGGGCGTATCCTAAAGTTTGTGGAAGCCCTAGCTATCAATTGGAAAGTTCAAGCCACCTTTATGCGTTCAAAGCAACAATTCGTCATCACATTAAACCTTCCTTCGTAAATTTTGTTTTGATACCATAGCAGATGTACTATTACCTCTGCTATTTGGTTAAGTGGTCTTCATTGTTATTTTCACCTTGAATATGTCCTTTTAACCTGACCCAAGTAGTCTATTTTCTCACCTCTTACCTCTTTATTAATTTCATACATGTGTATTCCTATGACGAGTCCGTGTGTGATGGATCAGATTGTTCGAAATGTGTTGCGCAAATGCAGCATTACGCGATTCAGACAAATTACGTCATCCTTCTTATTGCTTTATCTAAATTCATAAGGGGAACTAATTGTTTTAAATCATAATAATAATGTGGTAAATGTTTTGAACGAAATTAATAGCGACGATTATAATGATAACAAAATATTGATAATAAGGTTTATGCAGGTGATAAGAATAACAAAGATAGTATATGCATATATGTGTATATGTAGACAGTTCAATAAATAAATAAATTAGGTCAAATCTTAAAAGGTGAAATGGAACGATAATCACAGTTTAAATAAATATCATAAAAGTACAAAAGAGATGGATGGTAAGAAAGGGTGGGAGGGTTTTGAATAGAATTCACCTAGGCAGACAATGGAGAGGCAAAGGTAGAACAAACTTCTTTTGTTGTATGCAAAGACTAGGATTGTTCTCTCGAATTAATTCCCATAGCTTCGGTTAAGTGTAAAAGACGGGTTCTGATTCCGTTCGAAAGACTCGATAGAATGCGGTAAATAACTTTGAAAGCACTACTTTTGTCCACTTGGTTACCACTATCAATCAAATGAGCCGAAATAGAACTTCGTATGGATTTTATTTGACCTTTCCCGAACCATGTAGGAAGATGCTCATTAATGTGTTTGTTAAGCTGTCTAGTTGTTCGGCCTATATAGCTTTATCTACAGGAGCAACTAAATTTATAGATACACATGGAAGTGGCACAACTAGGTAGATTATATTTCACTTGAGCAATCAAAGATGGTCGGCTGGAAAATGACAAACAGAGGGTGGTGGCAGTATAAGTCCGTTTTATCGCTCTCGATAATCTCTGATGTAAGACTTTACTAGCCACGTCCCCATTGAATTGCAGTTTCATGAACAGTTGTTTCTTTTTAACTGTTGTCGGTTTTTCTTTACTGTACTTGGTATTCATGTGTCTCCTTAGAAATCTACTAGGATAACCCATTTGGACCAGCGTATTTTGGATGTATTCTAGCTGATTTTCTATGGAGTCATCTGTACAGATACGTCTTGCTTTATTCGTGAGGCGGCATCTAACCAAATTGACTTTGTATCGGATTGGTAAAAAACTCAGGAAATGTGTATATTGTTTACATATACACATATATGTATATACTATCTTTGTTATTCTTATCACCTGTAGAAACCTTATTATCAATATTTTGTTATCATTATAATCATCGTTATTAACTTCGTTCAAAACATTTACCACATTATTATTATGATTATCATTATTATTAATATTTGATCCACAAAATTACCGTCATTGGTTAAAATTTTTATATATAAGTCTATGTAAATTAGAGTAAAGCCTGAAGAAGATCTATTTGAAAACAGCAATATTGTTCGCCTATTATATGTCTTGTTCTAAGTAGATAAATGTCCTTTACGTCACACTTCCAGAATACAAGTTGAACAGCTTCGTTTATTCAGTTTTAGCCACCAGCAAGCCTGGGAAATGACACTGTTTGGCTTATGTATGAGTCTTACAAAAAATATCTTACCAAGGACATTAAAATCTGAAATGAAATGGGAATCACCCACACAGTAGTCAAAATATTGTAGACTGTCAGGTAAAATAATAATTGTCATTCTTATTCCAAGCGCTGATGTTTGAAACGATTAAGTCGTAAATTAAAGTCACGTTTATGCCTTTTATTCCGTTCAACACAGACAAAACACACCACACCACACGCAAAATTGAAAAAAAGTCGCGTTACACAAAGTTTGAGTAGGTTATAACAGCTTAAATCATAACATGCTCAAATGCAGATCAAATACCTCGACACTTGAGGTTAATTCAATCTGCGAGTACGTTCACATTTATGTATCATCAATAAACTATGATCCGACGGCCAGCTAAAAACTACAGCTGTTGAAATCGTCCATCATTATATCGCATATAATTCCTCTTGTTCAGTTTTGTTTTAATCAATTAAATCGTCAACTCTGATTTTATTTCCTATTCTAGTGAGTATTTATAGAACTTCTACAACCTGCATGGGGTGAAAGTTCTCACACAAATCGAGAAGTCGCAACTTATCTCAACAATCGAGGTAACTGTTCCCGACATGTTTTTAACACAAACTGCCACTGCTCTAAAGAAATAAAAAACTAGCTATCTGCAATCTTTACTTATTCAGCCTTGTCCCTGATGTATCAAGTAGCACTCCTGCGCAACGTTTTAACTCTGCCTTTCTCTAAGGAGGCAAGCAATTATGATTAGTGCAGTAATGTATTAAAAGAAAGATTCGTCGAGTTCCTTAACACGATTCATTAAATCCTTGAAAAATAATAGAAATACTGAGGGAAACTGGCAATGACGTCATGAACATAAGTGGTAAAATGTTCACGTTTTGTTTGTCTGTCCTTATTTAGCCTAACTAACACCAAAACCATTCTCATCTTTTTGACATCAACTACAACTTTTCAAAAAATTCAACCATGTAGTAAATAATCATTTTTGCACATTCACCTAATATCAACATTATCATTGTAATAAAATAAGTAGTATTGATAATAACAATGAATACGTGTGATTATTCAGTTTAGATAATTACTCACCTCCAGTGTGAATTATGACGAACAGAACACACAAATAAAGCAATAGATTTTCATGTTGAATTTGTTCTAAGTAGCGTAGTTCACGGGTTTTTATACTGGAACAGATGTCGTTGTGAACGAATCATCACTAGCCAAGTTATTCTGCTTTAACTATTGGTTGAGTGAATCCACATCTCGTTACTGATTGGTTAGAGATTCAGACGATGATGTAATGATCTTTGTTTTCGCAAAGTTGAATACTCTTTCTTGTCTGGAAGACTAAAACCACACGCACGTTAGTTAATGCTAGTTTTGTACCTTACATTCACTAGTTTGTTGATTGAAGGTAAACTCGACATGAAATTAGACCATGGATAAACGAAGACGAAACGGTAATCGAATGTAGCTCTGAACAGATTAGCATATTTTCAAAGCATAAAATAAATTAGAAGTTGCATTGAGGATACAAAACAACATTTGTATATGACTAAAGTTTTTTAGAGCACAGAAATTTGATTTGAGCAGTTTCTTTTTTAAAAATGTTTTCCGTGACATTCATACTATGTGATGCTAATGTGAATCGCAATAAACCCAGTGACGCCAATCCAACTTAACTTTTAAGTAAAAGCCGAATTCAACTGAATGCTCATGAAGGACGAACATATATCCTGTCACTCCAGGACGCCCACCTCGTCACTTTAGATGCAGGTTACATTAGACAGCATTAATATAGGATGTCACTCTACTGTCCAAACAGAGTGAATGTCACCTTGATAACTCTTGTTTACAAACGTGTTTATTGTTGTTTATTGATCCCAATTGATCAACTTATCTTCAATATCTCGAGTAGAGGTTCTAGATGAGTGTCAACTAACTGATCTGAATAAAAGAAGGGACTTTATATGAATGCGGACGTCTTGAGTACTGTTGCAATTTATGGCAACCAGTTCAGCTAACAGAAAAATGAATCAAGAAACCGAATCAGTTGCCAGTCATGTGTGATTCGCATGCTGATAGTGTGATGGAATCAGAATAGCATCCATTAAACGTTTGCAAGCAAACAACTTGATTCAACTACTGCGAAGATGAAATTGTTTTGAGAACCAGCTGCAGAAAGATTCATAAACACACATTGGACAAATGTTTCTTTGTACAAAAAAGGGAGATATAGCAAGCGATATTCTCAAGAGAAGGATCACACCATCTCTGAGAAGAACATTCTTTGCAGCAACGCTAACAATAGTGTTCTCCAGTTGCCCATTGATCTGCAGAAGCCTCAAGGACAAGATCCCGCATCTGGCCACTTCTATGTGCATATATCAGTTCACCTGCTGCTGTGGAGCCAGGTACATCGGTCGCTCGACGCTCATCCTGTCCAAGAGAATTCGAGAACACTATCCGCATGGTTGTGAAAAAAACAATAGTGGTGCAATAAGGAGTGCCATAATTGAGCACTTGGTTAACACTGATCATTGCATTTCAACAAACGCCTCCTGCTTCAAAGTAATCTACAGAGTCAAAAATAACCTATCAAAGGCAATACGGTTTCGTCTCCTTTGTATCGCTGAAGCTCTGGCCATTCACATGGAAAAACCGGAGCTGTGCATACAAAAGAAGATTACTCAACCACTTCTACTCTCATGCTAACAATGTTTTGATTTGTCCTGAGTTCTTTAATTTTATTTTGATGACTTAATTTTGTTTCTTTGCCTGTTCTTTAACTGCTTATAATTCTTGGATTCGAATATTCACAATATTCACTGTATTTGAACGCATAGCAAAAGACCTCCACATGTCTTGCCGAAGAATGCATAATGCAAATGATCTGAATTCTGTCAAAGTTAGAATAACTTCAAAGAAATAGAAAGAGAACAGACAACCTCACCGTTCCAAAACTTCGGTTTACCCTGAATCACTAACGAATCGCTGTGTGTGTGTGTGTGATATATTCGACTATCAAAAAATCATATAAAATGCTAAGCTACCACAGTGAATAAATTTTAAAAGTCGGGGCGACCCGATAGGTACAAGTGATCTCAAATGCAAAAGCAAATCACACCTCACACTGCTTAATTTCGATCATCGAACAGCAATCAGTATTTTTTTAAAAACGATGTGATGGCAGATATGGGAATAATTTGAACTCATGGTGTGTCGGACTTTAACTATTCAGGAAAACACCTCTGACTTGCACCGAGAAGAAATGTCAACATTTCTCGGCACTTCAACCGAGAATAAACAGCATTGATTTCATACGCTTCACGTTAACGTTGAATATTTAAGTTTATTCCTTAAAGTGTAATTTATTATTATGAAGAAGATGAAACTCACTCACTTTGTTTTATCACAAAAATCTACCTTATCTTCACATTTCCAGAGATGCATTCTTGACGTCTAAATAAAAGTGAATAGATCTTGTTAAATAATAATAATGTAGCTCTTATCATTTGTTTTAATTAAGAACACCTACATTAGTGTAGTGTCTGCTATATATCTTCAAATCTACATCTACACATTCCTCTTCTGCGTGAATAGATTCCTAATTAACACGAAGACAACCAGAATAAACTATCAGTTCACCCCATATATCACTTAATATGACGTTGAAAGCAAAGATAGAATATAAGGGAGTGTGTAGCACCCCTACATTAATTCTGAATATACGCTTACACAACTAATTCATGTAGGCATATTATACGTTTAGAGAAAAATCAATTTTATATATGCTTGTGAAATATTCACCATTGCATGATTAAACACTCCTTTCCGTTTGTTACATAATTACATTTTGTGTCGTTGTATTTTTTTCGTTCTCCTTGCGCTTCTCGAAATTTGATTTCGTTATGAATACATATTTTCAAGTTTTCACTTGTGCTTCTTAGTACAACATCGTTCATCTTTGACAGTGTTCAGTATCAGCACATCGCAGAACGTGAATACGTTGTATGTACTACAGTATTATAATCAAAGTCGTATTTAGTACGCAATACGTCTATAGGTCGACAGTTCAATACTTCATGAAATTAGGAAATTTAGGATAATTTCAAAATTCCCTCAAAAAAAAGTCAACAAGACACTATCAAAACTCAAATGAAGATTTCAGGGCATAAAATGGGGCATTCTCATAGTTATGTACCACCACGAACTTCTTCTTAGTATTTTCTATGATATAATGTGTATATTCAATGTAATCTGTCGCTTGTATTTCGAATGAAACTAGGAGATTGGAGAGCACATATTCACTTTATTCGATTATCTGCGGTGTCTTCTAGATAGCTTCATTACTTTATACGAGCTCCCGTTTCCTATTCACATAATATCCGTCATGTCACTCTCGGAGGACGGAGTAGTTGGTCTTGCCATACAGGTAACGCTAATCAGCTTGATAATGGATGTCACTCGACAGTTTCTTCAGATTTCGTTTATTCGTAATGACGTTTTTGTTTGCAAATGTTTATTATATTTTATCCATCCTAATTGATCAACTCATTTTAAATATCGAGTGAAGGCGAAATGGGTTAAATCCATTCTATCTATCACACCAGCCTCTTCATTCACAACTCTTCCTTTGTATCTCATCAGGCAAAACCAGAAGCCTATATAGAAAACTATATGCTCGCACTAGAAAGTACAAAATCTCAACCATACCCTACTTATCTCGTGTTCTGTGCGATAAAGAAAGCATTAGGCGTCAAACTTTTAACTTATTAAACAGTCAGTAGAAAAACTGGATCTCGTCTTTCCAACTCATATCATCATTTATAGGTACAACGTTTTCTTTCTTTCTTTCTTTTCCTTTTCTCTCTCTTTTTTCCTGCTATGTGTTGCTTCGTTTCTTTCTTCTGCTTACGCCAGTAAATATGCTAGAACCTACTTTTCTAGCACCTTTAAACACTCTGTTTTATTTTGGCTTTGCTACCGACACGCTAATATGTTGTTATCAAAACTAACTGAGATTACCCGTAATCTATGTAGAATTTTATTTATTGTTTATTTACTAACTGGACGCGATACTGTAGTTAAATGCTGAGAATTCCATTCTGTATCGCAAGTACTATTTTGGAATAAAGCAAATTATTATTATTATTATTATATGAATTGAAAACATTTATTTCCCGATACGAATTTAAAATAAGCAACAAAGCAGGTTAATAAAGCAGGATGATTTAATTAATTCATCAAATTTCGGTAGAACTCGTCAGCTGCTCAGTACTCTACATACACGGATATATATGTACTTTTGAAATTACATTCAAAGATATGACTGATAAGTAAACAAACTACATTGAATTAGTCATGCAGAAAGACAGGTGCAAATGTTTTCCAGGTCATGTTCAAATAGATAAGGAGAGGGAGAGTATGAGAGATCAAAATTAAGACGAAATGCATTACGCTTCAATTACATCACTTAGATAAACAATTAGACATTAGAGAATATAACCAAAATTGCAAACAGATTAATATCAATGGTAATAGCTATAATAACAATAATAACAAAAATAGTGTTGAAGTGAGTCAAGATGATCCTACTGATAAAGGTTAGTTTTAAATGAATCAGGAATAATAATGATAATAATAATAGTAAGAGGTAGAATAATATGTAAAACGTATTGACATGATAGATTCAGAGTCACGACCATCTCCTTTTGAACACAGAGACCTGGTTTATAAACTCGAATTACACAAGCCTCTGCAACTGCAAGCATCTTCTTGTTTCTTTGTCTGCATGACTAATTCAATGTAGTTTGTTCACTTATCAGTCTTATATCTCCGAATGTAATTTCAAAAGTACATATATATCCGCGTATGTAGAGTACTCAGCTGACGAGTTCTACCGAAATTTGATGAATTAATTAAATCATCCTGCTTTATTAACCTTTATTGCTGTTTTAAATCCTGATATGAGGATGAATAAAGCCTCACTTAATACAAGAGGAGATTCATGAGCACGAGAGTGATACGTTTTTGAGGTAATGATGGAACAATAACATATTGTCTATCACTGAACCTCGTTAGATTCGACTTGAGGGAATCAAACTTACCTTTGAAAAGCAGACATTAGTCACTCTTCATACACTGTGGTTGACTTCTTTATTTAATAAAAAGAGTTCTATTTGTTCAAGTGAGATTTTGTGATTATGTGAGATTCTGACCGGATGCTCAGTGTCACTGGAGATAAAGGAATTGGATCAATCACTAATGTTTGATTAGTCCAGGGATTCCATTGTGTATTGAAGAAGCGACTGACTAAGTAGCTGGAAATCCTTCAAACAACTCTGACTTGCCCTCTTCATCACTGTGATATATTTTCCAATTGATATGGTGAGCGTTTTAAGAACAGTATGTTTCGAATCGAACCATTCCTTTATCTTATTTCTTACTTTAACAAGTACATTGGGAGGCATTCTAGTGTGACTCTGGGTAACTTCCTAGTCGATGTACTTGACCTTGTGTTATGTATGCGTACAATCCCTCAATTGACGAATGAAGTTGCTCAACTCGATCAAAACAGCATTTCTTTTAGTTTCTTAAAAGCACTTTCTTCATTTAAGTGGACCAGAAGCCCTCGAGTGCCTGATGTCGAAGTCGGTATTTGCGGAATGGGGCTGCCAGCCTCACGTCTAACACATTCTGTCCTTCTCAGGCCTACTCTCAGCTGCTCAAGCACGGGGGGGTGCTGATCCTGTTGCAGAAGCTTTTGGGCATGCACAATCTGAGAGGCGGGTGAGGACTCTATCACTTAGCCACTACTGCACTTAAAAATGGGAAATCCACTTCAGTTTGTCTATCGAATGCATCAAAGACAACGAAACAGAATTATTTTGCTGCATGATGAAATTCCAAAAGTAATTTATTTATTGTTTATTATCGCTTCAATTTTGAAGCTTTACCTATCGATTCAACAAGAAGACACGTGTACTAGGAATGATTCAACATGTGTCTCGTCATCAGGCAACATTCTGCTGCCAATACAAAAAAGAAGGGGGGAGTGAGAGAAAAAAGAAATGGAATGAAACTCAAGTTCCGAGGTAGTGTAGTCCTAATTGGTAGGATTATGAGAAATATTATATTTTTGTTCAGGAACTCTGCCATCCAGTAAAGAATACTGAATCGCTGTGTCATATATATATCCGAGGGACCGAAAATCACATGTAATTAGAAACTACCATAGTTTCCAAAACCAGTTTTTTTTTAAATGATGTGATATCAGATATGGGAATAATCTGGAGTCTTGGTGTATTTCACCATTCGGAAACCACCGACGCCATGCATTTAACAAAGTATTAACAGTTTTTTGGCATTTCAACCAGGAATATTCATTATTTGTCTCACATGCTTCATGTTAACGTTAGATATATAAGTTTATTCCTAAAAATGTGTAATTTATTATTATCAAGCACCTGAAACTCACTTTGTTTTATCACAGAAATCTACCTTATCTTCACATTTCTATGATGCACTTTTGACCCAAATAAAACTGAATAGATTTTGGTAAATAATAATGTGTAACTCTTATCTTTTGTTTTCAATGAGAAGAGTTCATTAGCGTGGTCTGCGTTACAGTTATAGATCTCTCTCACATTCCTCTGCTGCGTGATACAATTTATAGCTGAAATAAGAATAATATGAATAGAGAAAATCTGATATAAGAATCATTATATAATAACATTAAGCAGCCAAAGTTTGTAAACCACACATCAGACGTGTTTTCTACGCGTGTTTAGTGACAAAAAATACCACAGAAAGACAGAGAAATTAACCTCAGAAAGAACAAAGTAGCATACATCATGGTAAATGAATTCGAAGAAATAGCATCAAAATAAATAATTAACCAAAGAAGTAGAGCAAAGAAAACACTGAGGTGAACACTTCAAAAGACTTCTAAATCGACTGCCATCTAAAACGCGCTCAACAATGCCAACAACGGAAGCAGAATCACCCATCAAAATCGACTCCCCGATGAAATCAGACGTCCTAAACGCAATCAAGAGCAGCAAGAGCAGATGGACTCCCAGCAGAAGCATTAAAAATTGACCCACAGACAACAGCGGAGTTGATGACGCCATTTCTAGAGAAGGTGTGGAAATAGGGCAAAGTACCTGAGGATTGGAAGAAAGGATACTTATTCAAACTACCAAAGAGAGGAGACTTAAGTCTATGTAAAAATTGGCGCGGAATTATGCTCCTGTCCATTTCAAGCAAAATACTAAGCCGCATCATCATCATCATCAAACAAGCCATTCTGGATGAAAAGCTTCGGCCAGAACAAGCTGGATTCTGGATAAACAAGTCATGTATTGGTATAGTCGACAAACTAAGGATCATCACTGAACAAAGCTTGGAATAGCAGTCACCCCTCAATCTCAAATTCATCGACTTAGAAAAGGCCTTCAACTGCGTCGATCGAAAGTTAATTTGGAAACTACATCGCTACTACGGGTTGACAACGACAATCATACATCTCATCTAATACGACAATGCGGCATGACAAGTAATCCACGACGGGAAACTTACGGAAGCCTTCGAAGTGAGGACAGGAGTGAGACAAGGCTGCCTACTATCGCCAATGATCTTCCTTACTGTAGTACATTGGATAATGCGACAGACAACGGGCGGGCGATGAGGAAACAGGCATAAAATGGACTCACAGAAAGAACTCGGATGATCTGGACTTCGCCGATGATATATGTCTGATTTCCCACAAACTGGAAGATATGCAAGTGAAAAGCAACAAGCATCCGAAGAAGATTGGACTTCAGTTGAACATTTAGAATACAGATGTGGTGATGAAGATTCCTCGCCAACACCAACAGCAACAACAACAAAAGACAACAATCAGCCACCATAAATGGGAGGAACCTGAAAGAAACAACCACCTTCACCTACCTGGGAATCATCGTTCCAACTACAAGCGGACGGAACTGACGAGGATATCAAAGCCAGAATCGGAAAAGCAAGAGAACCTTTCATTACTCTTAAGTCTGTGTGGAGGTCATCAGCACTCACCATCAAAATAAGAATAAGATCCGGACTTTCAACTCCAATTTGAAGTCAGTGCTCCTATACGGAACAGAGACTTACACTGCGCTTCATAAAGAGCATCTCAAACAAACTTCAGACCTTCATTAACAGTTGTCTTCGCTCAATACCACTCAAGATCAGATGGCCGGCCAGAACAGATCAGCAACAGGGATCTCTGGCAAAGAGCGAACCAACCAAGCAGGAACCGATTGTGAAACAAATAGACAGGAAGAAAAGGAGATGGATTGGCTGGCCATACTCTGAGAAAACAAACATCAAGTGACATCACTAGACAAGCCATTGCTCGAGTGGAACCTGAGTGGAAGCGGCGAGTTGGTCGTCCCACCTTGGGTTGACTTGAAGGAGGTCATGTGGAGAGGAGATGAAAGCATTTGAGCAGACTTGGACCTGGCTGAAAAGGTTGACGGAAAACCGAAGACAATGGAGACTCGCAGCTGAAGCCTTATGTTTCTCTAGGAATTAAAGGATGTAATAATAATATCTTTGTGCGGTTTGAACGAATTTTGAAAACTTTTACCAATGAACACATCTACATGACAGCTGGTAAATGGAAGTGATCCATCCAATCAGCGGATAGCTAATTTGCTGTTTCGCGTCTGAATTCATGAACAATAAACTCTTTTTTTAGCCGGACATAGAGAACTAAGATGTTCAGCTTTGATGAATATATATCCAAAGACATTTATATGTATACGATTGCAGTCACTACTACTATACTGTACAGTGATATTTACCTTCAGAGAAGAATTCAAACAAAAGTGACAAAAGTTGCTGAAGTAGGACTCAACTTATCCATCACGTTTCTGCGGAACTCAACTTCAACTGAATGCTATACCAACTGTGACAAACAAATACCATTGGTGTTACACTGACAAGTGATATGTCTACTGATAAGGAAGTAAAACCATTCGATGGCACAGTGATTAGGACTCTCGCCGATCATGCACATGGTTCGGGGTTCGATCCCCTGCCAACGTACACCTGATATCTATGGTCAGCCTGCAAAATTTGGGCTACCGATATCACTTGATAAAAATTCCATACCTGTACCAAAAATACGTTGTGGAATCAAGCTGTAATTAAAAATAAATTATATATATACATATATATATGTATGAAACACCAGGTGTGAATGTTTTTCAAGTCATTTTCAATTTAAAATAAGGATGAAATTTATTGCGTTTCATTTCCAGGCAACATATCGTTTTATTACGAAAATCAACACGTATTTATATAAATTTCACATACATTATTATAGGCTAGTCAAGTAGACAAACGCAGTCTTCTGACTGGTTGTTTTCGAGTTCCTCGGAAAGTGGAGCCATCTATCTGCGAATCAAATTTGCCTACGTATAAGTTTGCTGTGATTGGTTGTTGAAACAGCCTTGTTCATATTTCCTCACGGCCCATATTAGTGACCTAGACATTGGCGTAGATTAATGTCAACCAATTGGCTAGCAAGCTGCTCTCACCACAATAGTACATCTGCCATGGTATCAAAACGAAGTTTACCAAGGAAGGTTTAATGTGATGAGAAATTGTTGCTTTGAACGGATAAAGGTGGCTTGAACTTTCCAATTGATAGCTAGGGCTTCTACAAACTTCAGGATACGCCCTAAACACGTTTTATAGATAGATTTAAAAGATCTGTTAACATCAATTTTATGTCCTGTCTCCTCTGTAATATGTTTCGCAACAGAAGAGCTCGGTTTACTTTTTTCACCATTAATGGTTCTCGAGATTCCATTTGTTTCTGGAGCCATTTTGGAATATGCTCTGATGCCAGCTGTTACTTGCAGAGATCGATGAATCCTCTCTGTGTATGTGTGTCCACAAGTACATTCAAATTGGTAAATACAGTGGGATATAACGTCATTTTTTGCCTGCTCAAAGGGCTTAGATATATATAATGACTTTACATTCTCTATTCTTATGATATTAGCCGTATAAAAAGTCTTTGTAAACACAACAGCGTTCAGCCTTTGTCTAGTTATCAAGCTGCTTTGATGCTCCATA